ATAAAGAAATATATACATATACTTCAGGAGGAACAAAGTTTATGCTTCTTGGAAGCTTTACAAAACATCCATTTCGGTCAACCGCGGATCACATTTTCAAGTCCGTTTTGTGTGGCAGGTGTGGGACGGTCAATTATCACCCTCTTTTAAATATATAAGATTTTAAAGCTTTTGGAGGATGGAAATGCGACCGGGGTACGACAAAGCTCCATGCTAGGATTCTACGGGGAAAGGGTGTGCAGAAGAAGAAACCAAACATGTTTACTGTGGGTAGCTCAACAAGTGCAACTTTTGTCCTACCCTGCGTCACAGCACATGTGGCACATGTGTAGCAGTGCAGACAAAGAGGATGGAGACAGACATGTTATGTGGAGTAATGACCAAGCATGACCAAGCTGAAGCAGCTGCAAAAATCAGCAAATGACGCGGCAATTCCCACTAAAAAAGCTTTTTGTACCCTGCGTCACGGCACATGTGTAGCAGTGCAGACAAAGAGGATGGAGACAGACATGCTATGTGGAGTAATGACCAAGCTGAAGCAGCTGCAAAAATCAGCAAATGACGCGGCAATTCCCACTAAATAAGCTTTTTGTACCCTGCATCACAGCACATGTGTAGCAGTGCAGACAAAGAGGATGGAGACAGACATGTTATGTGGAGTAATGACCAAGCATGACCAAGCTGAAGCAGGTACAAAAATCAGCAAATGACGTGGCAATTCCCACTAAATAAGCTTTTTGTACCCTTCAGGAGGAACAAAGTTTATGCTTCTTGGAAGCTTTACAAAACATCCATTTCGGTCAACCGTGGATCACATTTTCAAGTCCGTTTTGTGTGGCAGGTGTGGGACGGTCAATTATCACCCTCTTTTAAATATATAAGATTTTAAAGCTTTTGGAGGATGGAAATGCGACCGGGGTACGACAAAGCTCCATGCTAGGATTCTACGGGGAAAGGGTGTGCAGAAGAAGAAACCAAACATGTTTACTTGTGGGTAGCTCAACAAGTGCAACTTTTGTCCTACCCTGCGTCACAGCACATGTGGCACATGTGTAGCAGTGCAGACAAAGAGGATGGAGACAGACATGTTATGTGGAGTAATGACCAAGCATGACCAAGCTGAAGCAGGTGCAAAAATCAGCAAATGACGCGGCAATTCCCACTAAAAAAGCTTTTTGTACCCTGCGTCACGGCACATGTGTAGCAGTGCAGACAAAGAGGATGGAGACAGACATGTTATGTGGAGTATGACCAGCATGACCAAGCTGAAGCAGGGCAAAAATCAGCAAATGTACGGTTTGCAATTCCCACTAAATAAGCTTTTGGTACCCTGCATCACAGCACATGTGTAAGCGTGGCAACAAAGAGTATGGAGACAGACATGTTATGTGGAGAATGACCAAGCTGAAGTCACTCAAATCAGCAAATGACGGCGTAAATTCCCCCACTAAAATTCGCCTTTTTTGCACCCTGCACATCAACAGCACAGATGTTAGCAGTGCAGACAAAAGGATGGAGCAGACATGTTTATTGTGGAGTAATGACCAAGCATGAACCACTGAGCAAGGTGCAAAAACACAATGACGTGGCAATTCCCACTAAATAAGCTTTTTGTACCCTTCAGGAGGAACAAAGTTTATGCTTCTTGGAAGCTTTACAAAACATCCATTTCGGTCAACCGCGGATCACATTTTCAAGTCCGTTTTGTGTGGCAGGTGTGGGACGGTCAATTATCACCCTCTTTTAAATGTATAAGATTTTAAAGCTTTTGGAGGATGGAAATGCGACCGGGGTACGACAAAGCTCCATGCTAGGATTCTACGGGGAAAGGGTGTGCAGAAGAAGAAACCAAACATGTTTACTGTGGGTAGCTCAACAAGTGCAACTTTTGTCCTACCCTGCGTCACAGCACATGTGGCACATGTGTAGCAGTGCAGACAAAGAGGATGGAGACAGACATGTTATGTGGAGTAATGACCAAGCATGACCAAGCTGAAGCAGGTGCAAAAATCAGCAAATGACGCGGCAATTCCCACTAAAAAAGCTTTTTGTACTCTGCGTCACGGCACATGTGTAGCAGTGCAGACAAAGAGGATGGAGACAGACATGTTATGTGGAGTAATGACCAAGCTGAAGCAGCTGCAAAAATCAGCAAATGACGCGGCAATTCCCACTAAATAAGCTTTTTGTACCCTGCATCACAGCACATGTGTAGCAGTGCAGACAAAGAGGATGGAGACAGACATGTTATGTGGAGTAATGACCAAGCATGACCAAGCTGAAGCAGGTACAAAAATCAGCAAATGACGTGGCAATTCCCACTAAATAAGCTTTTTGTACCCTTCAGGAGGAACAAAGTTTATGCTTCTTGGAAGCTTTACAAAACATCCATTTCGGTCAACCGTGGATCACATTTTCAAGTCCGTTTTGTGTGGCAGGTGTGGGACGGTCAATTATCACCCTCTTTTAAATATATAAGATTTTAAAGCTTTTGGAGGGTGGGAATGCGACCGGGGTACGACAAAGCTCCATGCTAGGATTCTACGGGGAAAGGGTGCGCAGAAGAAGAAACCAACCATGTTCACTGTGGGAAGCTCAACAAGCGCAACTTTTGTCCTACCAGTGCGTCACGGCACATGTGTAGCAGTGCAGACAAAGAGGATGGAGAAAGGCATGTTATGTGGAGTAATGACCAAGCTGAAGCAGGTGCAAAAATCAGCAAATGACTTGGCAATCCCCACTCAATAAGCTTTTTGTACCCTGCGTCACGGCACATGTGTCGCAGTGCAGGCAAAGAGGTTGGAGACAGACATGTTGAAGCAGGTGCAAAAATCAGCAAATGACTTGGCAATCCCCACTCAATAAGCTTTTTGTACCCTTCAGGAGGAACAAAGTTTATGCTTCTTGAAAGCTTTACAAAACATCCATTTTGGTCACCCGCGGATCACATTTTCAAGTCCGTTTTGCGTGGCAGGTGTGGGACGGTCAATTATCACCCTCTTTTAAATATATAAGATTTTAAAGCTTTTGGAGGGTGAAAATGCGACCGGGGTACGACAAAGCTCCATGCTAGGATTCTACGGGGAAAGGGTGTGCAGAAGAAGAAACCAACCATGTTCACTGTGGGAAGCTCAGCAAGCGCAACTTTTGTCCTACCAGTGCGTCACGGCACATGTGTAGCAGTGCAGACAAAGAGGATGGAGACAAACATGTTGTGGAGTAATTACCAAGCTGAAGCAGGTGCAAAAATCAGCAAATGACTTGGCAATCCCCACTCAATAAGCTTTTTGTACCCTTCGTCACGGCACATGTGTAGCAGTGCAGACAAAGAGGATGGAGACAGACATGTTATGTGGAGTAATGACCAAGCTGAAGCAGGTGCAAAAATCAGCAAATGACTTGGCAATCCCCACTCAATAAGCTTTTTTTGTACCCTTCAGGAGGAACAAAGTTTATGCTTCTTGAAAGCTTTACAAAACATCCATTTCGGTCAACCGCGGATCACATTTTCAAGTCCGTTTTGTGTGGCAGGTGTGGGACGGTCAATTATCACCCTCTTTTAAATATATAAGATTTTAAAGCTTTTGGAGGGTGGAAATGCGACCGGGGTACGACAAAGCTCCATGCTAGGATTCTACGGGGAAAGGGTGTGCAGAAGAAGAAACCAACCATGTTCACTGTGGGAAGCTCAACCAGCGCAACTTTTGTCCTACCAGTGCGTCACGGCACATGTGTAGCAGTGCAGACAAAGAGGATGGAGACAGACATGCTATGTGGAGTAATGACCAAGCTGAAGCAGGTGCAAAAATCAGCAAATGACTTGGCAATCCCCACTCAATAAGCTTTTTGTACCCTGCGTCACGGCACATGTGTAGCAGTGCAGGCAAAGAGGTTGGAGACAGACATGTTGAAGCAGGTGCAAAAATCAGCAAACGACTTGGCAATCCCCACTCAATAAGCTTTTTGTACCCTTCAGGAGGAACAAAGTTTATGCTTCTTGAAAGCTTTACAAAACATCCATTTCGGTCACCCGCGGATCACATTTTCAAGTCCGTTTTGCGTGGCAGGCGTGGGACGGTCAATTATCACCCTCTTTTAAATATATAAGATTTTAAAGCTTTTGGAGGGTGAAAATGCGACCGGGGTACGACAAAGCTCCATGCTAGGATTCTACGGGGAAAGGGTGTGCAGAAGAAGAAACCAACCATGTTCACTGTGGGAAGCTCAGCAAGCGCAACTTTTGTCCTACCAGTGTACGTACATACATACGTACATACACATATACATAGACATAGACATAGACATATTTACATATACATTACACATTATACATACATACACTTCATTTTTCGACACACTCATGTAGATGTCAACGTGTTTTTTAAATGTTTTTTTCATGGTTGTGATTGCTTACTGAGTACGGAGATTTAGAGCGACGGAATGGTCGAGCCCTAGAAATGACGGTTAATCTTAGGGAAAGCCGCAAATGGTCTAAACTACAGTATTTCCAAAACATGTGTGACATCCGTCCGGAGGGTGATGCCGGAAATGAGACTATGATTCTTGAGGACAGATGGTATCAAAGGAACACTCGCGGGTATTTCGATATCATCACACTACAGTAAGAAACTTGTAGGTTGGGGATGGGGGAAGGCAACCAGGGGATGTAGCCACCGAAACATCTTTGGTCAAGATGTAAGACCGTGAACTCTGACTGTTGCCATTTCTAGAATTGATCGCAAGACATGCCATGTTTCAGGATTCTGACTTGACTCGACCCACAAGCTTGACCCGTACTCGTACTATCTCGTACTAGTGAGGCCAACATGCCCTGGTGATGCTGACATCCCAGGCAGGTGTTAATCGTTGAACTGCCGATGTTTCCCCCAACTTTTCTCATCCTTGGATGCCTGCTTTAATATGTTCTTTCGGTATCGCGGATGTTTACAAACCAGCTTTCAAACAAAAATGCAGCAGGTCTGAGATTGGCTGCGGCCCAGGTTTTGAATGTGGGCTTCATCCTGTACCGCTACACTGAAAAACTCCAGTTGCTCTTCGATGAGGAATTACTCTCTGCACCGGAGCCCAGCTGTCAGCAACTGCTGAACTATGCCTTGGATCGGAAGGGCTGCCAGTGGAGCGGCAACGCACCGCGGATATGATGGGAGGGGATGCAGAGTCGACTCTACTGATACCAGAGAGGGCCAAAAATGGAGGAATTCACCAAAAGAATGGGTAGATTCAAGCTACTCTCTGGTAATTTGTCATTTAATATAGAAAATTGCTAATTTTAGAAAGTAAATTAAATTAGCTATCAAATGGTCCACTTTCCATAGCTATGTTAGTTTACTGGAAGGCACAAAGCTAGTTGCACCCCGGCGCAACATTCTGGGCTGGCAACTGAGGATACGGCAAGCACTGATCGGCTCGGCCGGTGCGGTGAATTGAAGGTGGGGTTGTCCAAAAATGGGACCATTCCATCCGCGTCCATCCGCTGGAAAAAAAAAATAACCTATAAATGGAGGTTGATAGCTAGGAAAAATAGTATTGAAGGGTGGATTTTCCAGCAAGCCATGTTTGATTACCGGAGAATCATCATGTTCATTCATTTTCCCTATTCAATACTATTTACATGGCCACTTTCAAGGGCTAAATCGTCCATTTTCAGACACAGGTGGTGGCACTTTCTCAGACCTTTGCCTCTCGCTCAGTGGATTGGAGCTACGACGACCCCAAGGATCCGAGCATGCCAACGATTGCACATCCGGACTCGGGTTTGCTATCTCTGGAAGGCATGAAGAGAATGCGACTCTTTCGGGATATGAACTTGTGCTAAGTTAGTTAAGGAGAGCACTGAGAGCACGGAGCTTTTCTAGCAGTGTGGTCAAAGATGGTCAAAGTACCCAAAGATCAGCGTGGATATGGGTCAAATTTCAAGATTCAGCGACACAGAAAAAATACCAATTAAGTGTTAACGGTTTCAACACGTTTCAACCATAAACACGAAGTTTGAACCATACCCAGCAATGTGGTCCAGCTTTTGGCTCCAGTTTCGGTGGAAAAAAGTTCTGTTGCTGCCCAGTTTCTGTCAGTTGGATCCCCACTATTCGTGGTTCATATCCCATGGTATCCTCAAGTATTGGGGTTTTGTGATGTTTATACCAGTTGGTGACCGGTTGTTATAATACTACCTATAGATTATAGATATGATTAGATATGTGGGTATATCCCACATATAACTGGGTTATAGCAGGTTACGGAAATGATATGATTATATGTGTATGATATATAATGATATATGGGTGCAAGTCAAAATAGGAGGTCCGGAACAAGCTCCGGGACCACACCCGTTCCATACCCCCGTTCCATACCCCCGTTCCATACCTCCTTGAAGGATCCGTTCCATACCTCTGTTCCATACCTCTGATCCATACGTTATGATATATATATACACCTGAATATGTGCAGTCTGATTTTACATTTGTACGCGCATACTTGAGCGCACATACATACATGAGTGTGTACATGCAAGAATAGGTTTACTATGCCCGAGCCCTGTGATTGTGTTGGCAAGTCTGTGCCTGCAGCGTTTGTTGTGTGATGGTAGGGATGTGCTTGGCTGTTGTCAGCTGGCAGTCTAAGAATGGATTGCTTGTAACCCTCCCTCCCTCTCAACCTGTGGCAGGTTTGCGCCTGCACCACTTACAGTTGCTGCCCGCTGTGGCACAGCTGTGATGTTTGATGGTAGAGATGCGCTTGGCTGTTGCCAGCTGGCAGTCTAAGAGTCTAAGAATTGCTTGCTGCGCTACTCTCGCTCCACACTGCCAATTTTGATAAAGATGCGCTTCGTGGTGGCAGAGCTGTGCTGGAGTGGGCCGTTTCGTTCCAGACCCCGTTCCATACCGTTCCATACCCGTTCCAGACCCGGACCACCCATGTACCATCCATGACCCGCTTCCGCGTGAACAAACGGCAGGTTCTCACATAGACTGCTCCTAAGCCATCCTTTGCGCGTGGGTTTTGGGAGCCTAGAGTCTTGCTACGCGGGGACCGCGGGGACACAATCTACCCCATAGGGACCGGGACTTCTGAGTTAGAAGAGTAGGAGGTGGGACCTGCGTGACAGGTCTGAAGCTGAGCGGACAGCTTCACATAGTAGCCAGTGGGTGAGGCTGGCTACCAGGCTACCAGTTATGTCCTAGCTAGTGCACGAGCACTAGCCATGCAAGGCAAACCTGCGTTGAACAGGTGTACAACAAGGATGCCGCACAGATGAGAAGTAAAAATGAGCGGCAGCCAGCGGTAGTAGCTTCAACGTGCATATCCTTGAGATGTAATCATATAATATCATATATACATATATTACACATATTTACAGTATACATATATATATATATATATTTATGTACAACTTATATTTCATCACAATTCCAAAGGTCCGGAGCAAGACCAATTACGAAACCCCTTCGTTCCATACGTCCGGAACAGCGCGGAACGTTCCATACACAGTTTTGACTCATAGCCATATATATATATACATACATACACTGACATACACATATAATGTAGCTAGGAGGCTTGGTGGTCCTTGTTGCCATCGTCAAGTTTTGGGGACGACTCCCAAAAGGTGCCAGGGTTGTCTTGCCTGGCTAGGTGCTGCCGGCGAGCGAGACTTTGCACCTGACTCTTTTCTGCGGAGAAAAGATTTGAATTTTGCCGTGGGAGGTGGACCAGTGGATCTGTCTGAAATTGGAATAACTGGAGCATGTGCTTGGTAGTCTTGGTACCCTCTGGTATTCAAACATGGCTGGCTGGGAAATGGTTTATAACTTGTGGAGGTTTATAGCTGGAAAAGTTATCTATATATAAATAGTATTTATAAATGCTTCCATTGCCACGTTTTATTACCCGAGGATATCCCCAACCTATGGTCATTTTAATGGGAATATACTGATAAATAATATTTTTGAGGCTACAGGGTACCCTAAATTCAGACAACCCCACGTGAAGTGTTAGCGGACCTCAGACCAATTGGTGGTAAGTACCCACCGCCTTTTTGATGTGTCATGATGCCTTGTGACAAGAGCAAAACCAGCCCTTAAGACTCCCCCAAAAGCAGCAACCCAATTCCCATGAATAATTGTCTTCGAGTGTGATGGTCTGAAAATGGTGGGGAAACACTTTTCCATGGTTTAAGCACGCACCAATTTTGAGCAAATCCAAGATATGATTCTTTGTTATACTGTACATGGGTTATATATCATGCGATGGGATATGTATATATCCCATCGCATCCTAGTATATTCTCACATTTTGTTGGTAGCATATCCCCATAATGGGGGGTTGACAAACCATCTCAACCAGGACAAGGAGAACCCCTTGAAGCGAACCAAGTCCCAGGTTGCGGCCAAGTTGAAGGCCGCGGAGGGAAGCTTCACTGATGGGGTTGGGGTGAAGGTTTTGTTTCCGCCCGGGGGCTGAACTTTATAAAATATGTGGCCAGATTTTTTTTAGTTGGGGACAGAGTTTTTTTGATAATTATTATAATATATATAATATATAAATTAATTAGTTAATGAATCAATTAATTAATTATATCTTCGAAGCATGGGTGTTCGAGCGCTAGAGCTGCAGATTTGGGGGAGTTGAACACAATTTGGGACGTACAACTACATACTCAAGTATATAATGGCTTTGTCTACCACCAAATTTGATGATTGATTTTTTTTTGTTTCTCTTTAGACCGGCCAGAACTTGGGACATTGGGGTGTGGTTCCAAGTGATGGGCGGCTGCAGAATCCATCAGTTCATCCCGTTTTTTGAACCAAGACAGAATGGATTTCAGGGGGAACACATACAAAAGACGCAGAGAAAAAATGATGATGGTTATTTCTATGGGATGGAACAAAAAGAACTGTGATTTCCATGCATTTCCTGGAAGATTTGGGAGCTCTCGACCTCGTTTTTTGCGGCTGTTGGTCCAAAGGGAACTCTCAGATTTTGACCCCAGCGCCGTGAGCTGTGCTGAGTAGGCTGGGACAGGGGAGGTACAGATCAGTGATCATCAACAAAGCACATACTCTCTGGTAAACTAACAGTTTGCTATGGAAAATCACCATCTTTAAGTTCGGTAAATCCACGAACTAAATGTGCCATGTTCAATAGCAAACTGTCAAATTACCAGAGGGTATGAAGAATACATCAAAGTCTTTGACTCTTCAGGTGGTAAACGTGGTCAACCCAAAACCATAAACCCTCCGGGATTGACTTACCATCTCCAGTGACAGATTTACTATATACCGCTGAAAAACCACAGTGCAACTTCCTGAATCCACAATATCATGCTGTACTTAGTAAAGGGAATCAACGGGGTAAACTTCCAAATAATCTTTAGTTTATTGCCAATAAACCAAGGGCTAGGTGTGTACGGGACACGCAGACTCAAAGCCGTCGAGACTAAGGATTGCCCCTAGTGCCTAAATGGGGAAAGATTCTTCAATTCCTGGGCATCAGTGCTGAGGGTCACCTCAAAAATGTGGCAAACTACTGAAATGCCACCAAGTATGTATCCAATGTTCATTCCCAAGACCAGCCAGGTTTCAGGCTGGTTACCTCTACATAGGGTTTGTTCGACCAGCCCCTAAATGGCAGCTTTAATAATTAGGAAGCATGATGGTAAACACCTGGATTCTCAGACAAAGCCATGTAGGGGCGTTCTCATAATGGGGGACCCCAAAAGCCTTGCTTTCCTTTGTATGGTAACTTGGATGATAACTTGGGGTTCCATTGTAAGAAACTTCCAGATTAGTCCAGGAAGGGGCCTCATAGATAGGACAGTGTGTTCATAACTATAGCGACTAGAATTATGGCAGACATATCTACATTTAGATGGGCTTATAACTTATAGACCAACAAACACTACTTGGGGTTTCCTTTGTGTCTAAGGGCACCCTGGGACCTGAGAGGCATCCGCTCAACCCTCAGGAGCCATGCCCACTCCCGCGGACAAGAGGAAGATTGTGAAGACACGTGGTGATTGGTTCATATCGGGGCATCGGGGGTTATGGTCATTTAACATTGCTATGGAAAACCACCATGAATGATAGGTAAATCATCTAAAATTGGCGATTTTCCGTAGCCAGAGGTGGTTTCATTGGGAGTACTAGAACCCCCATTGATACCACATAATATTTGTTCTTTTGACATATGAATATTGACCAACCAGTACAACGGGATGGGAGGATGGGGTATTTTTCATGGCTCACATGTCACGACCATGGGGATGTTTGGATAGCTGGGGATGGGTCAAATGAAGATGTGAAAAGTGGAAGCCATAAGTACTGGGATGCAGGATCTTTTCTTGACTTCTTGGGACCCACAAAGAGACTGTTCATGTTTTTTTTCTCATGATTATTTTTCTTTGAATGAGGGATTGGCCATATATATGAGGTTTGGTACTTCAAGTAATCAGGTTGATGATAGTTGCAGTGATAGTTGTGCCACCATGGTCAGAAGCAATTCCCCATCTTTTGATGGAATTCACCCATGCTGCTGGTCGAACCGTCGAATCTCCATTTTTGATGTGCACCTACCATGCTGATTCAACTCCGCTTTTGAAATCCCTTAATGTGGGTAAAACAATAATAAACCATCCCCCAAATCACAATTTTTATACCATTTGTTTTTGCATTGTTTTACTCACATTACACATAATTCCATATACAGTATATATATAATTCATTGTAATTCCTATGTTTGTGCATGTTCCTCCATTTTTGAGCCGCAGCTTCAAAAAGCGCCAAGACACGCACCTTCTGCTGTTTCTGAGCCTCTGAGCATCCCAGGAATCGTAACTGGCTGATAGCCAGGTAGCCCCAGTTATACATGATATCTATATTATATATATATATATATATGTACACATATACAATCATATACATATATGTATATATACATATATAGTTGGATCAATCGATCCCTGGGTCAGGAACATCTTCATGATCCAACCAATAATGTGATAAACCCAACCACCAGATTGTAAAATCAAACACGATTGAGTCTTGTCTTTACCACATAATGATACATAATTCATATGCACAGCGCTTGATTTCTGGCAAGCGATCATATGCGGTGAAAGGTTGGATTTGTTCGACATCCGGGACGGTTACCGGACGGTTACTGGACGGTCACCAGCTGTCACCCCAGGAAGCGCACCAAGAAGTTCACGCGGTTCCAGGCGGATCGCTTCAAGCGCATGAACCCCGCCTGGCGCAAGCCCCGCGGCATCGATGGCCGCGTGCGACGTCGCTTCAAGGGTGCCGCGGTGGAAGGGGGGAGGGAGTGAAGGATGGAGGGAGGGAGATGCAGTACATGGAGAAACATGCCTTGTAAATGGTTTGTATCGATTGTATAGATATGTATAGTAGTATCGCATATATAACTGAGGTATATTCTTCCATATGTCCAATACCCAGTTCAGGGATCATCAGAGGTGCGGCGCAAACAAGACGAAGAGATGGGTGGGTTGGATGGAAGGAATCAAGATTGCTTTGTTTTTCAGGCGCTAGATGCAGAGTGGATTTCTTGAAATACGGTGAAGGCCATCTTCATCGATCTTCATCCCCAGTTCAAACTCGCGTTTTCCACTTGTCAGATAGATTTCGCACCATCTTCTTGAAATGTTCGTCCCACGGTTCTTGAGGCGTCGTCACAAGTAGATAGATGGGAATTGAGTCATAGTCGTAAGTACATTGCACACATACATAATCAATATCATACCATGATGTAATCCCGAAATTGAACGCTTAGAATTTCAGTGCTACAAATGCTCAGCGATGTCCAGCCTCTCAGGATCCACCCTCTGCCCAAAGATCGGCTACGGCTCCGACAAGAAGACGTCCCTGGTCAAGCTTGATGGGGCGGCGGCATGTGGAAAAGTCGCCAGAAACGAAGAGAATCTTATGATTATACTGCAGTAACAATAACCATCATCATTATCATTGTTCAGTGTATAATGACATTAGTAACTTAATATCATTATATTACTATTATCATGATAATTAGTATATATGATTGTGACGATGATGTTTATGATGAACATAATAATGATAATACTGATGCAATCATCATTCTTTTTGCTGTTGCCCATTTTGACTCATCAGTTTCTTCTACCATGGCTGCGACGTGCCCGAGGCGATTTCGTTTGAAGAACGGCTTCTACAAGTTCGTTGTGTGCCTCTTGGGGCGGACGTCGTGCAGAAGTCAAGCAAAGATGCTCGTTGTTGTAGTAAAAAGGAACCATGTCACAGTTACAAACCGTTGCATATTGATGATCAATAGATACCATGTAGTTTGAGCCAGCTTACTTAGATCCTCGGATCGAAAATGAGCAGGCGCGAGGTCTTGTCAGCCCATGGCCACATATATGGATTAATTATCCCAGAAGATACCTGCAGCAGGCGCTGCCCCGCAGATTTAGAGATGCTTCTGATGCACAACGTCCGGAGACCCAATCGGTTAAAGAGCAGCGTGCCCGAAGCAACTTGCGTTGGATGTGTGGGAATGACATTTTTTTGGGGATCATCCACCGTTTGGGGAAATCTACAGGGAAGTTGTGATATTTTTTTTAAGGGGTGCAAATCCATGGGATTACACATGCAGGACCTGTTGTATTTGTAGCAAATCCTTGGTGTTTCAGACATCTTCCTATATGTTCGATCCTCATTTGGGCTGCTGCCAATGATCATGATTATGGTCATGATGATGAGGATGGTGATGATGGTGTTGGTGCAGGTGCAGGTGCAGGAAGAAGATAATGAAACATGATTGTTAAGATAAAAATGGATACAAATGGCAATGATGGGAGTGATGACGTGTAGCAATAACGATCATGAATTAGTTACATGAATATTGCGTCATCCTGACCACATTGATAATAGTAGTCAAAAAGAACAACGACAATGAACATGACGATGATTATTACAATACAAAAAGCAATGATAATTAGCAATAATGACAAGAACACCGCTGGTGAAAAGAATGACAGTAAGAATGAGAAGGATCATGTTCGCACAACATCCCCATTGCATCCCCATCATATCCTGATTTTCTCTTCCCATTTTTCTGGTTAAAGCACCACATATATAGTCGTTCTGAAATGTTCGATACTCCCAATCAAAAAGCCCTTGATGTCCCCATATCTGACTACTAGGTTGGTTGTAGATGGTTGTAGTATGTTGTAGTTAGTTCCATGTTCAATTCAATAATTACATATGTATAGTTCCCCACCTGCCAGGTGAGGGTTGTTAGATTTTATCAGAGTTGTTCTTCTTCTTCTCCTCCTCCTCCTTCTCCACCACCTCTGCCTCCACTTCCATGTTCACTTCCGCCTTGCCAACTCTTCGCCAAGCTCTTCGCTAACTTCCGCACGCAGTGGGCACTGCTGGACCTCAACTGCAAGGGTCTGAGCGCACTGAGTACCGCTGGACCTCAACCTGGGACCGTCCGAGCTCAGTGAGCACCGCTGGACCTCAACCTGGGACCCTCCGAGCTCAGTGAGCACCGCTGGACCTCAACCTGGGACCCTCCGAGCTCAGTGAGCACCGCTGGCCCTCAACTGCCAGATAGAATGCCAGAAGATTGCCAAGATATGCCAGATAGAACGCCAGATAGAATGTCAGAAAGAATGCCAGAAGATATGCCAGATAAAGTGCCAGAATGTTTGCCAGGTAGAATGCCAGAAGATATGCCAGATAGAATGCCAGAAGGTATGCCAGATAAAGTGCCAGCATGTTTGCCAGAACATATGCCAGAAGATTTGCCAGATAGAATGCCAGATAGAATGTCAGAAAGAATGCCAGAAGATATGCCAGAAGATATGCCAGAACATATTGCAGAAGATATGCCAGATAGAATGCCAGAAGATATGCCAGATAAAATGCCAGAAGATATGTCAGATAGAATGCCAGAAGATATGCCAGATAGAATGCCAGAAGATATGCCAGATAAAATATGTCAGATAGAATGCCAGAAGATTTGCCACTAACAAAACGTATAGATGTCATGGTGGGGATAAGTCGAAGTAAATATACCATATATATCCAATATTATATCCCTATGAAACGCCCATCACCACTGACTCTCGCGATGTCGGCAGGAGAAATACGCCATTGAGGTGGCGCACAACGTGGGCGCCAAGAAGTGGGGAAGCCAATGAATGAAAAAGACAACAAGATTTTGTTGGGTAGCCAATTTTTAGATATACCTATATATATATATATACCTATGTAAATATATATATATATACATATAATATATATACACATATCGGTTAGTGATAGGTAGATAAATCTTCCGGGAGCCAACGGCCCCAAGGCGCAAGGAGATCGTGGAGAGGGCCGACCAGCTGCGGCTGTATGTCGTGGACACCCAGGGGCCCATCTAGCTGCGATGACAGATGATATGTGTATTAGATTCCATATACATTCCATATGATACATTCCAAATTCATAGATTATATAGTGTATATGTTATATGTTTATTTTATATGTGTATTTTATATGTTTATTTTATATGTTTATTTTATATGTTTATTTTATATGTTCATTTTATGCATTTTTTTGTGCATTACGCTATATGTGTGATGTTTACATTGCAATATATATATATATAATTTATATATATATATATAACGCGCACTCATTAGCATTTTGGTGGTTCATCCCATTTTGTGGTGAGAACCCCAGTGATCAAACTGGGCTGTCCCGCTGGCCCAACTTAAAACCTATATTACCCACTTATGAATTGGACTAAAGGACCACCTAAGTGGTTAATAAGTAAGATATAGATACCTTCTAATCCAAACATTCTTGGGAGTCCCTGAATTACAACTGGACATTTGTCACCAGCGGGAAACATCCAAGCCTGGGGCACTTCCAAGGTCACGAACCGCAATGCACGTCTTCGAACTGAGGAACAAGACTAATCTGCCAACATGGCTGGGATCTCCAGAAATGGCGTCGAAGACGGTCGAAGGGGCGAAAAAGTCTTCTTTCGGCACAGGGGCTGCACTTGGCGACGTCCCTGAATTTTGCGTCGAAGCTGCGTAGGATCGATGAATGCCACGCATCCTCAAAAATGTTTGACCATCCACCCTAAATGAATTTCTTTTCGAGCTTTCAGCGTCTGGCACCATGACTCCATGCAACAGATGTCCACGCTTTCGCCGAGCTTTTACGTCATGAGACGCTCCATGTGCCGCGGAGCCAACAAAAGGAAGAAAATTCAAGGACACTTCATATCATGGACCCATAGCAACTGGGCTCCCATGGAATGGGGTCAACTGTACTCAGAGATAGCCAAGTCAGATTTAGCCATCGGATGGACCAAAGGGCAGGATGTGGTAGTTTTCTCAACATCTTAGTTGGCCCACAAGCAAGGACCCAGTGTCGTGCCCCGGACATGAGCCCCTGACGACTCCTAGTTCACAAGCAAGTGACCCAGTTTCAGAGGTTCCATCCCCGTGGCCAATCTTAGAAATCTTTGTTTCAGGCTAAAAATTAGAGAAGAAACCATGGGTTTCCCACCAAAATATGATCGCAAAATCCATGGTTTGCTGGAAGATTTCAAGATTTCCTTGAACATGATAATATACCCAGTGACCCGCGAAATCGCGTCCCAACTGAAACAGCACCTGCCGTGATGGCGAAGCTTTGACGTTCACAAAGGCTATGGATGTCAGGGAGGCCGGGAGGAACATGCGGTGAGGGTGTGCAAGTTGCAGGATGACTTACGAGTTTGATGGATTTGAATGGGGGGCGCTCTCCGGTAATCAAACATAGCAATTGGTTCCAATCCACCATTGATAGAGGATGTTCCCAGCTATAAACCTCCATTTATACAGGATTTTTCATTGCCGCGATGAACCAATGGATTTCAGTGGTGTGATTGGACTGTTGAAGCCAGACTCATTTAAGATTGGTAGCCGCTAATGTCTACCAAGGGATATTCCTTGATTTGGGGTATACACCGTATACACTGTTTTTGGACAACACCCAGATATCATATTGATATATATATAATATATATAATATATATATAATATATATATATATTATATTATATATATTATATTATATATATTATATTATATATATTATATTATATATATATTGATCATATTTCCCACCGTATCCCATAATACCCTGCTAAAAGTCCCCATGGTTTGTTGCCTATATTTCCCTATTTTCGAAGGTAAATCCACCAGAATTCTGGACACCCAGATATCATATTGCTTGTATATCCCATTATATGCCTCCGTTATTTGTTTCCCCGCTTTTTGGCTAGGGCGATTTGATGAGGTGCCAATTTTTGTCGGTTAGAATCCACTATCGTTTTGCTGGGGAAACATCATTAAAAAAGCAAAAAATAGATTTGGCTGAATTCTGATGGTTAGTAGGGGGAATCCCCAAATGGCCAGCTATTTTCAGCTATTTTCAGGTTCTTTAGCCTTTGGGCAGGGGCAGTGCAGGCGCTGTCACGGCTGTCACGTCGGAGAGCTTTGCATGGAACCCTGCGCCTGTTAGTGCGGATCTCGGAGAAACCGCACGATTGATGGTGAAGAGGGGCTTCCACAATCGGGATGGACCTCTATATCTATATGTGTACATACATACATGCATGCATGCATACATACATACGTACATACATGCATGCGTGCATACATACATACGTACATACATACATACGTACATACATGCATACATACATGCATGCATACATACATACATACGTACATACATACATACGTACATACATGCATACATACATGCATGCATACATACATACATACGTACATACATACGTACATACATGCATACATACATGCATGCATGCATACATGCATGCATACATACATACATGCATACATACATGCATGCATACATACATGCGTACATACATACATACGTGCATACATGCATACATACATGCATGCATGCAACATGCATACATACATACATGCATACATACATGCATGCATACATACATGCATACGTACATACATACATACGTACATACATGCATACATACATACATACATGCATGCATACATACATGCATGCACACATGCATGCATACATGCATGCATACATACATACATGCATGCATACATACATATGTAATTACATACGTGCATGCATGCATACATACATACATACGTACATACATACATACGTACATACATACATACATGCATGCATACATACATACGTACATACATACATACGTACATACATGCATACATACATGCATGCATGCATACATGCATGCATACATACATACATGCATGCATACATACATACATACGTACATAAATACATACTTACATACATGCATACATACATACAAACATGCATGCATACATACATACATGCATGCATACATACATAAATACATACATACATACATGCATACATACATACATACATACAAGCATGCATGCATACATGCATACATACATGCATGCATACATACATACATACATGCATACATACATACATGCATACATACATACATTTATTCATTACGTATACATATATATATACACATACATTCATTTATATACACACAGTCACATCCATACATTTATATATACAGTATACATACACATTCATGTATATATATATATACATACATTCACATATGTATATATATATTTTTACATAAATACATACATACATTCATACATACAGACATACATACATACATACATGAATTAATTACGCGTATACATACATACATTCATAGATATATATACACAGTCACATTCATATATATTTATATACATACACATTCATATATATACATACATGGACATTTATTTATATGCATATATATATACATACATACATGCATATATATATTTATATATACCAATATGTATATATATACACATATGTGTACATATATATATATGATGCAGCCTCGCAGGTCCCCCCCCCTCCCTCCCCAATGGGTATGGGTATACAGGAGCTATGTTCCCCGCCCCCCCGCTGTGGGTGGGTAGGGGGTGGGGGGGGGTTAGTAGTAGTTAGTAGTAGTTAGTAGTAGTTAGTAGTAGGTAGTAGTAGTTAGTAGTAGTTAGTAGTAGTTAGTAGTAGTTAGTAGTAGTTAGTAGTAGTTAGTAGTAGTTAGTAGTAGTTAGTAGTAGTTAGTAGTAGGATGGGTATGGATATACAGGAGCTATGTTCCCCGCCCCCCCCCTGCCCCCTGTGGTGTGGTGGGGGTGTGGTACTGCGTATACTATATATATATATTATTAATATATATGCTTATATGTATTTATATATATATGTGAATATATGTATATATATTTATATGTGTCTATATATATATATTTGTATAGACATATATATATATTTATTTAAATACGAATATGAATATATGTATACACACATATGTATGTATCTATAACATGTAAATAAATATATATATATATAGGAAGTAGATACATAGCACAATTATATATAACTATAGATAGCACGTAGGCACTTTGAGGGAGTATGTGTGCTACGCAGGTCGTCTAAAGGGTAGCATGTACCTAGTAAATGGGAGGCTGGTAGTCAGAATGGCTGCAAATACTTGGCAAATACGAGGCTGGACCTCAGAAATGCTGCCAATATCTTGCAAATAGAAGCGAAGGGGGTGCTGGGAAGGGGCTACCTGGGGACCCATCCCATTCGGGGGGGGGGAGGGGGGGGACCTCGCGGGCGGAAGACGGGATCATATATATATATATACATACGCTATATATATATACATGTGTATACATACATATGTTACATACATACATACATACAATGCATGCATGCATGCATGCATGCATACATGCATACATGCATACATGCATACATGCATACATGCATACATGCATACATACATACATACATACATACAAACATACATATATATATATATATACATATGTATATGTGTATATATATTTATACATATGTATATGTGTATATATTTATATATTCACATGTTCATTTTTATGTGCATATTTATTTACATATATATATATAGATACATACTATATATGTATGTATGACTTAAGATGACAAACGGTGTGTATACATATCACACATAATTTACACGATATGATAGACAGATATATACCTGCATTGGACTGATGGGATTCCCTATATCAAACAAACCAACAGAACCAATGGGCACAGGGCCTTGGGTTGCCTGGGTGATGTGGTTGTTTTGTTTTCCCCGTGTAAATATAGGTATATACCAGAAATCCAAGAATCCCACTTATTGTAGTTATATGTAGTTATAAACCAAGACTTGTCATTTGGGAGGCCCTTCATGTTGTAGCAAAAATTTGTTTCCAGTAACCACACCTAATGGAAGCGTCCCATGTTCGCGAGGGGAAAATCATGTAGAACTAGTTCTCCATAACCAGGTTTGCTTCCTCCCAGGTTGCAATAAATGCGATCACCCCGATAGACCGAAGATCACCATGATTTAAATCGCCATTCTCACGAATACCCGGGAATATCTTTCGAAGTGGGGATGTGAATGGAGTGGGGGTTTGCTCATAATGAACTGTACAATAGAAACCACATGAATATAAGTCACAGGGTATCCCACCTTTATTCAATTTTATTCATATCATCTCAATCTCCAGCCTTCAACTATGGCCTTGCAGCAGAACTTGAAGCCTAGGTGCCTCTACTATGGCCTCAGGCCGGGACCGGCGTTTCATGGGTTGGATCTCAAAGATATGTTGACCCTTCGGCCTCCTTCGGCCTCCTTCGGCCTCCTTCGGCCTCCTTTGGCCTCCTTTGGCCCTTCCGTATCTCCCATAAATTCATGGGAAAATCATCTGTAAATGGAGGTTTTAATGGGAAAATCATCTATGCCATGTTTGATTGCAGGGTATGTTGTTCATGTTGCAAAGGGGAAACAGACCGTTATTTGTCCTGTATGCTTGCTGGTTAATCGCCTCAAGTTCACATGAATCCTTGGAGTCTTTTGTTGAGACTGCTCAATGATACCTGATCCATGTGCGGAATTCCCAGTGTTTGTTTCCTACTTCCTGGTGGCACCCTTAGTTTTGTTAGTTTTACAGTTCCAGCAACATTTTTCATTTCCTACATTTGGAAATATGTTGAAACCCATGATACGATTTGAATAGATGGGGATTTTTTAATCCAGCTATACCAGCTGTTTTGGCGTGAAACTCAGTTGGTACATGGGTCTTGAGCCATAACCAACTGCATCCTACCGGTGTCAACGTCAACTTCCAGGTTGCAGAAGCCTCATGTCAGTTGAGACCGGAGCAATTCCGCTCGTGCCGTGGATCAATACCGGTGAAGGATGGGCTGAATGTGCAGGAGTCGGAAAAAGGGGCTGTAGCGAACAAAACGTGGGTCAGAATCAGCCAGCTCAAGCGTCATCAAATTTGTCTGAGCTGTTTCAGTGACAGGATACCACCTGTATCTTTCAACCAATGTCTGCGGGGGTCAAAATGATGGGACAGGTACCCGGTACCCCAACTTGACCCCTTGCTGACCATTGGTGTTTCAACGTGCTAAGGTTGCAACCTGCTACATGGGTTTGTCATCATTTTCCCTATTGTTTGATGTCCATTTCTTACTGGTCCTTAGAAGATCTTAGAAGGGAATGGAGAATGATCCGTAGATACTTAGATATCCATATAGTAACTATTGACACTCATCCCATTCCCCCATTCCCTACTCAGCACCAGTAAGATTTGATGGAGTATTCCACATTTTTAAGCCCAGATCTGGCACCTGAGGTCCATGGTGCTGCAGGGGGTAGAGTTTGATGGTGCCTATGCGCTGAGTATCAGTGAGGCACTGGGCTGCTTGCAGGAGGCTCGGGCGACTGGGGGCAGAGGTCCGGCTGGATCTTGGGCCGAGTTTGTGGATGACAACTTTAACCCAGTTATACCCAGTTGATAGATGTTGATATCAATAGTTATTACCAATATACGTTATTTAATATTATGTACTATTATATGCTATTATCACTAGTTATTATCAACTACCAGTGCCCATAACTATAACATACTATAACCCAGTTGTATATGGAAAATCACTATTAATGTATCAGTTATTACAGTATATCTATGTGGGTCATTGACACTTACTTACTGGGATGCGCCCCCAAGTAGGTTCTGTGGGGCACGGCATGTTTCCGTAGGGCAAGATTTCATACCCAGCTAAAATTTGATTTTGCCGTGGATCTAGCAATAGCAATGGACATGGAGAATTTACATGCATTTACAGCAATCAAAAGTGGTCAGAAACGCCCCAGAAATTGTGGTTTCTGTTTGAGGAATAATCCCGAGGACCTGAAACAAATCTGATGCTTCCCGGGGTGGAGGCCGTGAAAAGTGGGATTTACGAATGGGCGCGCGGTGACTTTGTCAACAAAAAAACGGGCAGTTGATCGGAAACAGAGACCGTTTTACTATAGGTCGCAACCATGGTGTTGGCAATCTCAGTTGTCTTAGCTTTTCCAAAGAGCTACAAAACACTGGCAGTACCAAAAGGGGTCATCCAAGGGCTAGGAATCATCACTGGCAGTACATATTGCGGGATGGTCATCCCAGCACCAATAGTATTAATAGGGGTTTACATACGAATTATATCTAATTATAAGGTATATATCATTTTTTGACCACGGCACTATGGGATACATCATTTTCTACATCACAATCCCGTCATCGGTCGGGGCCGGGTTGGGGCCTTTTTCGGCTCCTGCGGCTCCTGCGCTTCGGAAGGTGACAACGCCTCTGGGTCCAGTGAACCAATCCCTTCATGCCATTGCAGATTTTTATGAGCAGCCAGCCACTCAGAAATCTATAGAAATCTGAGATTTGCATGTGTTGATTCTGTGGAAATATTCTGAAAGATACTCTGACGTCTAGAAGAACATCAACTTGAACTGGTTGTTGAACTGGTTGTTGAACTGGTTGTTTCCACAAGCTCCACAACCCTTCGAGCCATGATTCCGATCAGCACGAGAAACATGTATATAAATATCAAGGTGGCACACGAATTCCAACATGGAAAACAACAGCTATACAATTATAGGCAATATTATATATATACACACACATTAAAATGACTAAAATACACGCGTTCATCTATGCTGTCTATACAAATGTATTTGCGTATACGTACTCTATCCTCCAAGCCCCTGGTATTCTGTCAAAGCATCTTGAATTTCCAGCCATTCCAGCCCGGACTCCAGACTTCGCGAAAACTCTGAGGTTTTACGCCTTCAGATACATTTGCATCGACCCAGCGGCCTCCAGCCAGAGTCAGGATCCGATCCGATCTGTCCAGTTCCGGGACGCCAAGTCATAAGTTGCTGTGGGAAAAAATACTGATTGTAAATTGTAATGGGAGTTCATGGACGTTGGAGGTGATGGGGATCTTTTTTTGGGGAAATTGAGGATCAGCCAGGAAGATCACCCTGCTTTCTGTACCTAAAACTGAGGTTACAACTGATTGGGGTGAACCTAATTTAAATCGACAATTTTAGTGGGGAAAATGATGGTCAAGCTAGAGTTTCTAAGTCGATGAATGATGCTTGTTGCATTTTCCCATCGATAAATCCACCAAACATGGGGGAATCTAATGAATCTAATGCGAATATGTTTTACTTCTACCCCACCTAAGCAAATCCGGTTTCCAAGTTAGGGGGTGGCCGGTTTCAAACATGCGTTGTTTTTGCGTCTATTTGCGATTACGCCAATGAGTTTCATATTTTTCAGGGGGTTGAAATCACCAACCAATCAAACATATTCCTTCTCCACAAACCCAGTGCGAGAAGGAAAACAAACACACAACCCATTTGCTGGCGGTTTAGCCAAAAGTTTTGGATGTGCCATCCTCAATCTTGGCTCAGCCACTCCAACAACTTGGAAAGCTCCGCAAATCGTGACGTTTGTATGATTTCAGACTTCAGAGCCCGCAAAACATTGTGTCAATGCCCACAAATATATTATTTTTTGATACTGTTTGCATGATTCGTCCCCATGTCTGATAGTCAAAGGCCCCACATTTCCGCTTTATTTTCAAAACGAGTATTGGGCGAATGTCATACTTGACGGTGGATACATAATGACATCCCAGTCAGTAGGTTGGTAGTCACTATACTACAACCCAGTTACACGTTAGATATGTTATATGGCTATCTATCAATCTCTCTATTTGTTCAATGGTGTCTCTATCCCTTTTAGACTTTTAGATATCTCTGGGTCAAAAAAAAGATCGACCTGCGACCTGACTGGAATGAGGGTTAGGATGGAGGGAATCCTCCCAAAATCTTTTTTTTCAGGCAAGTGAATTATAAAAATTACCCATATAATGACAGCATAATAATAACCCTAGTTGGTAAGTCCCCGAAGTGGATTTAATGTGGGTAAAACAATAATTTAAACCATCCCGCCCCAAATCACCATAAATACTTGTAGGTGGTTTTTCCACAATTCCCACAAAGAGTTGGTGTATTATTGTTTTACCATGTTTTACCCACATCCCAGCTATAGAAATTACCCACAACCCAGTCACTCTCATGATATATCGATATGGGTATGAGGAGCCGCCCTTCGACTATGGGGTCTATGGCACTCCTCGAGGTGACGCAGTGATTTAACCACCATTTTAATGGGGGAGATTCATCAACAAATATATGGGTTTTGTTGGGTTGTTGATGGTTGCTGTGTCTTTGTGGCTGAACATACCATAAAAAAAAAGCATATTAATTTACGCCAGAATCTATTGGTTTGGCATCATGTTCCTACTGTTTTTTTTTGGGAGGGAGGGGTACAGCCCAGTTTCAGACGCACCCACTATACTGGATGATTTAGAGCAACCTCAAAGAAACAGCCTTGCTACACACGTTGCTGACTTGGGGAAGTGTTCAATTTGGTCGCGATAAATCAGCTGTATTGGAAGGAATCGTGCGAATATTATGTCAACCAAAAACTCACAATAGCAGTGGTAAGTGCTGAACTTTTGGGTTTGGATACCCCAAATGACCCAAAGTTGACCGGTGATTCCTGAAGATTGCACATATACTGTATGGAATTCAATGGAATTCCTGAGGCTAACATAAATTTGTCTTGTACCCTCATGTACCAAGACGGTCCACATTGGCAGACAATAGATTCAATAGATCGTTGTTGAAGATGACCACCCCTGAACTTCGATATTTTACTGGATTGCCAGTGATTCTGGAAAAAAAAACAGAATATCTATCAACATGTGCGCGTATTTCGTGCTATTGTGGACTCCCAATATCTCCTAATCATCCTTTGTATGATCTATTTCACTAGCGGGAAACCATTTTGGAGAAACACATGTTAGTTTCTTGCCTCCATCGTGATTTTCTTGTATATCCCCAGTTGTTGTCTCACCTGAGTTGATGACATCACCTGTTTCTGCATCGAACCCCCTCTGGCAATCCACCACGGTGCCAGGCTAAATTACCAGAAAGTACCCATTTAAGGCCATTTAAGGTGATTCCAATGAGTTCCAAACTGGAAAATGGTCTACCCAGGTGGTGGCGCGTCCGCCGAGGCGCCGGAAATGGGATGGCTTTCCACCGATTTTCTGTTGGTTGGGTAAGTTAGGCACTTATATTTAGGATAACCCCACTGTTTCAGGGGACTTACTGGGGTTATCGTAACCAGTTATGATTCGTGGGATGATCCTCCAGTTATCATTTTTCGCCCATCTGATCCAACGATCTTTGCACGCCACTTTTCATCCCAGGTATTGAGCTGGCTGAGATCGGCTCAAACCATTTCTTCCAACGTGTCTAGACCATGTATGTATACAGCATATGTAAAGAAACCATGAGAAACCCATATGCCATATATCATATACACGGTAATATACACGTCATTTGTAAACCACTGATAAGTATATATATACACCATATTATTACAAACTGTATAAACCATATTTATGAAATACATATATAACTCATATGTATATATATAATTATTCTATATATATATATACAATATGTATAATATATATATATATATATACAATATGTATTATTTATATTCAATATGTATATATATACAGCATATGTAGAGAAACCATGAGAAACCCATATGCCATATATCATAAATATTAATAAATATTATATATATATACACAACATACATAGAGAAACCCATATGCCATATATCATATACACGATAATATACACATCATTTGTAAACCACTGTATATACACCATATATTACAAACTGTATGAACCATATTTTTTAAAACATACATAATTCATTTATATATATATAATAATATTAATAATAGTAATAGTTTTATATATACACAATATATGTTTAATATATATGAGCTTCATCCATGCAACTGTCTCCCATTTTGTTCTGTCCAGGATGCCAAAGTCGACCTCATCCACGAGTTGCGTGCGCTGGCAGCTGGGGGCACTCAGAAATTCGGCAGAAAACCATCATGTGGGTATGGGTCAAAATTAGGTACCCAAAAATTATGGATGGTTAATACTAAACTAGACTAACATCTGTGGTTCCCTAGGTCTTCCATTTTGACCCACATCCATGTTGATTCATTCTGATGGCCGAAACATGAATCAATCAGTTCAGAAAGGGGAGTTTCCAGTTTCAAATTTGAACTAATTATGTAATTCAGCCGGTTTTTTGTTCTCTTAAGTTTTCAATGCGAACCTGTTGATCCAAATCCCAAAGTACTCGTTGTTTGTAGGGATTCGGAATTTCCACCCGTGGTGAGCCGGGATTTTCTCCAAATACTTTGGGGTGGCCAAGCCCGGAGCCCGTGTAAAATCCAGGCCTCTTTGCCGCCCAACCCTGGAATCAATGAGTGGTTCCCGCCGGCGAATACCATCTTTGCGAGGTCACTGTCGGGACAGGAGGGTTTTCTTAACTGGGATGATGAGAATTTCACAAGGTTGTGCCAGTTGTGTTTGTTAGCTTACAACCCAATATATGCATGTATGTATACATATTATGTATACAATCTGTCTATCTATCTATCTGTCTGTCTATCTATCTGTCTATCTATCTATTTGTCTATCTATCTATTTGTACATACATGTATATATATATATATATATATATATGATATTAAAAAAATATATCCATCCACCATAAACCCAACTGTGAACCTAGTGAAATGAACCAACTTAGTTAGGCTACTTTATCATCACCTTGCAACAATGGCATGCTGAGTACGAGTGATGGCAAAGGAAAAGCCGGTCAGCCTGGTTTGATCCTGGGATGTTTCCATGGCAAGTGATACATGTTCACTGCTCGTACCCTTGCTCCCCTAACAGGCCCTAACACAAACCCTGACATCTAACTGAGAACCCGCGCAAAATGGGCTTGAATTTTGCCATGTTTGAATTCCATTTCTTCGATTTCCAGGCCAAAAGCTGAACATATCAACATACAGCACGATTATCCATCCATCCCATCCATCCATCCATCCATCCCATCCATCCATCCATCCATCCATCCCATCCCATCCCATCCCATCCCATCCCATCCCATCCCATCCCATCCCATCCCATCCATCCATCAATCCATCCATATCTCAACCACCATGATCTCTATCCCTAAAATCTCCCATAGAAATCTCCCATAACATCTTCCAGAAACTATCCCATGAAACATCCACGATACAACTAAATATCCAATAAGATCTCCGCAATGACCTTCGGAGAATCCCCCGAAGTCAATGAAGGTTTACAGTATTCTGGGAAAAACAACTATAAATGATGATCAATGGGGGATTTTCCATATATATATATATTATATTATATGAGATTGTATCAGATTATATAAGAGATTCCCACAAAAATGAGAACATCATTTCCCCATGACTGGTACATTCCCCCCAAAGCCAGGCTCCGGGATGCACACGTGGACTGGCGCAACGGTGGCACCAAGGCATGACGAAATGACCAACGGCATGAACGTTGAATGGGAGATTCTACAAGAAGACATAGGAAAAACATGGAAAAACCATGGTGAAAACCAGGGTTTCCTGAAGATTTTCACATGAATCAAGCCATTCATTGCGACAAAGTCACAAGAAATGCTAGGATTTGTAAGGGTAACCAAGTTTGATAATAAGCATGGAAAACAGTGAGACAAACCTACCAAACATATAACATTGGTTTGTAACCAACAGACAATTGAAACTTGAGGAAATGACCCACACTATGGAACCTACATGTTTGGTAAGATGTAGTGATTCAACCACCAAAAGCGGGGCGACTCACCAACAAATCATCATTTCAATGTGCAACTGCCCACTTGGAGATATCCCCTATTTTGAACAGAGCAAAAAGTCATATTATCGGTAAATCCCGTTGTCTCCTACTATATCTCCTTTGCATCGCCATTATATATCCGTTGTACCCTCATTGAACAACCCATTCTATGTAGATTATATCCCGCGGTATATATCAGGACTGGTTCACAACTCTAGTTGATAAGTCCGGTTATGTCCGGAAATGGGACCAGCAAGCTGAAACCCACGCAGGCCGATACTGTGCTGAACCAGTTCGTCTTCATCTTACAAGACGACGCCACGTTGGCTCCCGTGCAGATACAGGTGAACTAGGGTGCAAGGGCAAAGATTAACTAAGCACAATGAGTTTGGAGGATAAACATGTTTTGGTCAAAGTTGAAGGCCCAACAAACAGCAGATTCTGTTCAAAATTGTTGTAGTAACCATACAATTTTAGGGATATCGAATTGTTGACCCATACATCCCCATACCCAAATTGGATTGAATATGATGGGATATACTTACCCTCTGGTAAACTAACATAACTATGGAAAATCACCATTTTTAATGGGTAAATCCACTATAAATGGCCATTTTCAATAGCTATGTTAAATTACCAGAGGGTATTGAATATATACTCTTTGACATACTGGGACACAAAAGTTGGACATGTCAAAGAGAGACAACCAACATATGGGGATATACCCTCCAGTAAACCAACATAGCGGAAATCCATGGCTTTCCCGTTGGGAATTGATCAAAAAACAGGGCTGATGGACTCTATATCTACTTATGTTAATTTACTGGGTATTTTACAGCCATAGCATATATAAAATTATATAAATATAGTTTATTCATACCACAATATCATACTGTACATAGTGTATACGCATGCAAATATTGTATATCTAGATATAGTGCATCTACGCAACGATGCATAAACCGTTTGTATGTGTATATCGATATATGCATAATATACGCATTTTTGACACGTATGCATGTAGATGTGTATATACTGTATACTATATACTATATACTATATACTATATACTATATACTATATACTATATACATATAAATATACATATGCATAAGCATATACATATTCATATACATACACTTAACATATACATATACATATATACATATAAATATATACATATATATATTATGTATAGAGAGACACAGTGTATGTATATATATATATATTATAACAATATCACCTCCGTACTTCCTGAGCTTCACTCATCAAGCTGCCCATGTGGCAGGTCTCATCCGCCTCGAGCCTCGAGATCGATGGCTATGCAGACGCCAGGCATTGGGAGACGCAAAAACCATCAGGGCGCGGTCAGGCTACAGTGGTAGGCTTTGTACGGAAAAAAACATTGGAAAAACATTGGAAAACATGTTTATTTATGTTTATCTTTCATACTTGTGTTAATACTATGCACCTTATAGTGGTAGGGAAAAAAATAGGGAACATTGATTTTTGGTGGTTTCAATAGCAATTTTCTTGAGAAATACAGGGGAAAACCTGCGAAAAATAGGTGAAGCAGCATTTTTTCTAAGCAAAATTGTGAGTTTTTCAGAACATTTAGGGGAAAAGCCTTGAACCCAGTGGTTGATCGGCATTTTCCTTCCGTGGAGTCCGACAATGGAAAATGCCATCAGCCTGCAACGGTGTGGGTTTCGGATGTGAAACTTGGTGTTGAACCAACTACCAGGTTTAGCCATGGTGAGATCCCCGACATTTTGAGCTGGTTAGAACTAGGCACAAGTGTTTTTTTATCCGGGGAATTAGACCATGAAAGAAACGCACTTTAAGGTGGAAGGTCCATCCACTGCGTCGTTCTAGAACTTTTTGCCAGGGATCTCCCACTAGCCAGGTTTATTTCTGGTGAGAAGGAGATTGAGAGCATTGATGGGCTGAAACCCATGCAGCGCCTGGGTCAGAAAGAGAATCACAGACTGGCTGAGAGGTGGATTCACAGTAAAATTGAGAGGAACATATGGGTGTTGTAGGATTTTTTCGCTTAAACCGCTGCTGGAAAGGACCTTGTCCTTTTGAGTGGGCATAAATCCAAGTATCCATGGCGTTTCCAGGTGCAAAGTAGTTTGCTATACTTGGAGCTTTTGGAATCCAAAGTGGTTGGCTTTCCAGGGCGCCTTGGAGCCTTGGAGCCTTGGGTACAGCCTTGGGTACCTGAGGTGGTTTCGAGTGCGAGTGCTCGAGAATCCGGCCTTCAACTATGCATACAAGAGTCTCGGTGGGTTGCCCAAGGGATCCAAGGGCTACATGTGAAGCCTTGGATCGTATCCCAAGACTTGGCGGCTATGGCGGCGCCGTTGTGGAATTTTGAGACACACCCCAATAAAACACGAATTACTGCTTTAATCTGCTTTATATGATCAGTATGTCTTCATTCTAGTGAAATCAGCCACAGCCAGCTGCCATCGCCACAGCCTTTCCACCAGGTTCGCGTGCCAATCGCATGCTGAACTCTGGAAGGGTAGGCTTCGCATGGTGCGGCTGCCCAGGATTCCTGATGAATTTTGGTGCTGGAATTGATCCTTCAAATGATCAATGGAGGTTGATCTAAAATACAGTAAATTATCCTCTGGTAATTTAACATAACTATTGAAAATCACCATTTATAGTGGATTTTCCCATTGAAAATGGTGATGTTCCATAGTTATGTTAGTTTACCAGAGGGTAATATTTACAGTAAGTATCTCCGACATCTCAATGTAGATCATCATACCCTTTTTCGTCAACTTGGCAAACATCCACCATTTGGATTGATGATTTTCCCCATGAAAACCCTATTTATATCCATTTGTAATCATTTATATAGGAATTTCAGTTGCCATGTTTTATTGCAAGAGGATAAATTATGTTCATTTTTGTTCTGCTTACGAGGGTACCAAAGTACTGACCCATTCTCAGACGTGGGGATGTCCGTGGAACATTCACACCCAGGATACGCACACGATCGGTGTGATGTCCCAAAATTGACACAAAATACACATCAAGTCATGTCATTGATACTGTTACCATCTATGGGGCCTATCCAAAAATAGGGTACTCCTTTAAATCCAATGGCTTAAAGCCTCATTTGATTTCCCCAGATGAAAGTCCGGTCTGGGTCAAAATCACCTCAACTGAATGTGTTTCCAAGCCCAAGTCCGACCGCCCACATGAGCTTAAGATGTACCCGGTACTGACTAAGCATCGGGCGTACCCCACGCATAGTGAGGTAAAATTTGCAGTAAAATGGTAACACCTTTATTTTTCCAACAGCCCAGGGGTGTAGCAAAATCTGGGGTTATGTTGGCCCAATATCAGGCCTGCCCAAAACTCAGAGTATCAGCATTGATCTGCTATGTGTCCCATTCTACCCCCATCACATCCTCGTATTGTTGGTTGCCTACTTGGTTTTACACATTACCCTCAAAAACGGGCCTATCATATGCCCATTTTTGAGGGTAAATTTGCCGGCAAAATCCGGGCTTAACATAGTACATCCACTTCTCCCATGTTCTTTCCATTCTATCCCCATTCATTGGATTGGTTTACAGGAAAATTTCCAGGACCCTCGTGGTAAAAATCAGCGTTTCCTGTAGATTTTCTCTTTAGTGTCCCTAAAAAAATCACAATTGTGAATCATGATGTATAAATCTCATCAAATCCCATGTTTTTCAATGTTTTCCATATTTTTCCCCATTTCTTAATCTCCAAGGTTGACATTACCCAGGGCCTAAAGATTGTCCCAGCCCGTTGATGCCAGGCTAGGGAGCCACATGGGCGATGTGTCCACCTTGAAGCCATCCGCGGAGGTGGCTATGGTGTGGTGATATTGGGAAAATGCATGGGATATATATATATATATACGTATAGAATAATATATATATATATACCTTGACCTTCCATACACTGCAAAAATGTAGGGTTGGACATTATATATACATATAATTATATATATATATATAATTGTATATATATATATATGTATAATTGTAGATGTATGTATACATGTATACATCTTTATGACCAAGAAAGCTGACCATTCATATTTGAGGCATTGTGCTCCGAAGTCATTGACCACACCTGGCATCCATCCTTTGATGCGAATCCACCCTGGTCCGATGCATACGCACGTGGTGATAGCATGCAGAAAGGTGGCCAACAGATCATGGGCCAAACATGGCCAAACCATCCAACATAAAGGTCAATTGCGTTGTAGACATTATGTGCAATATCTATTTAGAATGTATCATGTGAATGATTATGATTTGTGTATGTATGTATGTATGTATATATACTATATATGTATATATATATATATACACATACACATACACCTATAATTAATTGGATCATCTTCGCCAGTCAACCGTATCTCCCTCATGTCAGCCCATGAATTTGGCAAAAGTTGTAGAGGTCATGGAAAATTGCGGGGAAGCCACGGTTTGTACCATGAGATCCATGGCTTTCCTGTCGATCTCCCCTTGAAAATCTGGTTGCTGGGACCAAAGGGTGATGACTTCACCAAGAAAGCCTTCCATCCGGCCGCGCCAGGTTCGCTTCAAAGGTGGTCAGGCAGAAGTCGGGATGGGGACCTGTGATGAAAAACAGCGTGTTTGATGATGCGAAAATCAGTTGGGTACCGGGGGGTTCACCCATAGAATCATCCCATATGGGTATGGATCAATACCTATTAATACCATTTTTAGGGGATGAACATCCATTTACAAGCTATTTTGATGTTCACCAGGGGTACAAGGTTTTGACACACTGCCATATACCGAATATACAAAAGGTGGCTGTGTCTCCACCTGCGACATCGGAGATCATTTCCACAGATCATCCCAGCCATTTTTGTGATGAAACCATATGAAACCTCCCATCAGTGCAGATTACCACATCTATTTTGCCAGAGGTGAATAGCATTGAATAGCCACAGTTGCCATAGCGAATCCTTTTTTCATATAGGATAAAACATGTTAACTAACGCCAACTAAAACTGCTTATTGTTCCATTTTGGTTGGGTAAATCCCAGCGCTTTGTGAAAAGCCATGTTGAACCCATTTTGCATGTCACATCTCCATTTGTGCAGGCCAAATCCACATGTTCACGGGAAAAAAAAACATGTTGTTGGCCAATCCCCAACTCAACTCCTAATTTTCGGACCCATCAAGTCACTTTAAGTGGCTTGGAACCATGCTCAACTTCCAAATATTTTTTTGTGTGACAAACTTCCACCAGTTTTTTTTCACGTAAAATTTCGTGAGTCCGTCATCGCTCCAGAACAATACCTGGACCTGGACCTGGCTGTTGCTCACAAGGAGCTTGAGATCGTCCGGGCTCACAACACCGGTGGCCAGACCAGTGGAGGCTAGTGGGTTAGCCCCATCAGGTGATTCAGAGTTAACAGTGCAGTAAGTATGCACATGCATGGTATATTTAGTGATTATAAGTATATATATACATATACATATATGTGTATATATATATATAGAGATAGAGTTGAGTTTACCTAAATGGTATGTGTCATTTGTTATTACATCTGCGTGATATACACTGACAAACACCTTACCCTCTGGTAATTGAACGTAGCTATGGAACACATTTTTTTATCGGCAAATCTTTGAACTCAATGGCGTCTCATTTTCAAAAATCCCATATTTTTGGTGGTGAAATCCCATATTTCCCCAAATGTTCATGGTAAACGCCATGTCATGGGCTGGTTAATCCCTTCCCCCCAACATTAAACACCTTTGAAACCATGGTTTTTTGTAAGGAATTTCCACATCATCGGGACCATAAAAAGGGTGTGTCTACTGTTAGGATGGGATGAAATCCACCAATTTTTCCATGGCGACCCCTCTGCTGCGGAGAAATCGAGGTGCCCCAGACAGGACGCGGCGTGCATCGTCGAACTGCTGAAGGTGAGCGCTGGGAGAGGGCAAAATGGCCATTTTTGAAAGGGGGAACGATGGGAAATCATGGGGAATCATGGGAACATGATCATGAACCATGAACCATTAGAATTACCCTCTGGTGAACTAACATAGCAATGGAAAATCACCATTTTTAATGGGAAAATCCACTATAAATGGCAATTTTCCATTGCTATGTTAGTTCACCAGAGGGTAGAGGGTACAACTATAACTACTATAATAATTTAATACGAAATGCGAAGTGGAAATCGAACGCTTGTGTTTCCGGAAACGGGAACATGATCTGGATCTTGAAATGAGTGGATTTTGTGCGGTATATACTGATGTTAATTAGCTGGAGGGTAATGTTAGCGTCACTTTTTTTTAGGCTGTTGGAGATGATTCCCCCAGTGCTGATTGAGGACGTGTGCATGGTATCTGCACAGTATCATATTTATTTTTGAGATAAATCATGGATAAATCATGGATAAATCCCATTTTTGTTGGCACCATAGCAAATTCATCCTTAAATTCTTAGTAGAAATCCAGAAATGCTGGTTATCCATGTTCCCCATGAGACACCTTCCCCATGAGACACCATGATGAGACTTCCAGGGCCCACTGAAAGCTTCTGGGTCTCTTTATCGCGATGCTGAAGAGGCCGACCCGCAGCCGCTTTGGGAGGTGAGACCAAATAAGGCGTGTGTAGTAGACAGATTTTTCTGATCAGAATTCAGGTGTCTACTATCTGCAGTCATTTGCAATAAAAACGCATATGTTCGTATCATTTCGTATCTATACATGCACATGTCTTGCATGTCTTGTGCCTTTACGGATGGACCAGTTGGGAATAGTCAACTCCAGTGTTGAATCCTCTGTCAATTCAGATGTGCACTTTTGTTTGATCTATAGATCGTGTCAGTTTACCAGAGGTACCTTTGATTCATATGTTATATGTTACATATTTATGGCAAAATACACATTCGGGTTAGCAATGTGGATGATCACCAATGTGAATAGGTGAAAACACAGTGTGTCAAGAAAAATCAGCCCAGGTCTCGTGTTGGTAGAAACCCAATGATAAGATATAATAAGCCATCCACATGGTGTCCCAATGAGTGATGTTTTTAAACGTGTTTTACCACACTAGGTAAGTTACCCCCAAAACCCCACGGTTGATCATAATGTTCCTCCAAAGAAGCGTGTTGGGTGTTTTTATTCCATTTCAGACACAACAATCATTTGGGTTCAATGTTTCTGTATCTTGCTAAATGATATCATAAAATATCCTAATATTTTAATGATATCCTATTAGGATACTATATCCTAATATATCCTAATATATCCTAATACCATGTATATCCCCATGAAATATCTCCACTGGTCCATGGACACTATCTCCTGGTTGCGACTCGGAGACTCGTCCCGTCCGACGTTTCGTTTAGGCCTTTGGCCAGCTGCAACTTGGCAGTGCCTAACTGGTCGGTTTCGTGAGAGTCACTGCCATGGTTGGATGAAGAAAAGACATCAATGTATTGACGGAAAGATAAGTTATTGAAATATATTGAAATCATGAGAATCACGAAAATACATGCTAATTACAATCGATTATATATATATATACAATAATATATAAATAGTTAAGATTGCTTATATATTATATTAATATCAATCATCGATTGTAAATAGTGATAATGATAGTCATTAACGAGTATTAATGACTATGTCATGATTCATGATTGTCAACTGTGATAATCACTACTATGATACCTCTTGTCATATTTGCTGGGCATGTTTTTTTAGTCATTATGAAATATTATGAATAATCATTCACACTCGTTCATACTAAACCATAACAATCATGTACCCTCTGGTAATTTAACATAGCTATTGAAAATGGCCAGTTACAGTGGATTTTCCCATAAAAAATGGTGATTTTCCATAGTTATGTTAGTTTACCAGAGGGTACCGTAATGTGTCATTGTTTCTTTGCCTAATACTTTGTAAAATTATCCTCTGGTAAACCAAGATTAATGTGAAAAACACACCAGTTTTGTTCTCGATCATTTTCCCAGGAAAACCCATGGATTTCCATTTTCCACAACTTACCCCAGCTTGTATATGTATATATATATGCACATATATATTATGATATATTTTCAACATATTATATATATAGTATAATCTATATATATATTATACTATATATATACATTATTTTGTATTATTTATATAATATAGTATATATAATATAATATATATGTATATAATGTACATTATATATATATATCATATGCACCTCTTTTCTGCCAAATTTCGAGGCGCGAAGCACATCAACATGAATTGGTGGATGTCGCTTGGCCACAACTGGGGTGACCAACAGCAAAAAACGGGGACTTCTCTAGGGGAAGAGTGGATTCAACACATATCCTGTGGTTATTTATATAACGTAGCTATAGACAATCACAATTTGTTATTGGAGAATTATCACATATATTCATATATCATCATATATCGTCCATCAATGGGCCACTTTCCATAGCCAGATTAAAGTATCAGAGGGTATAAACCTATTGAGTGGATCATAATTCCATTAAATCCCTTTGAACCCCCAATCAATCCCCAACTATAGATGATTTTCCTGACATTTTCCTGCTGATGCAGGAAGCCCCTGAGATGCCGGATGCGGCCATGCTGAAACGGCTGGCTGAGGAGCCTGTCATCGGGATTTCAACAAAAATGATGCTATTTTTTGGGATGTCATGGATATGATCATCAGATAAGTGTCATGAAATGTGTGTATGTACATGTATTCACCGTTTATTTATTATATATATATATACACACACGTATATACGTGTATATATATACATGACAAGTACATATGTATATATGATATATATATATATATTAATATTATTAATCACTGTGAAATAGTGGAAAAAAACATCTCTGGATATTGTGGGTCTTCGACTCCGCCCATGGCGACTTCCTCCGGGGTCAGGACTCCGGGCTTCGCTCCTTACTGCGAATCTCCGAGGAGCACATCCCCGGCACGGAGGCGGCGGATTTTCGGGACAAGTGGGATAGTTAAGGCTGTATGGAGTACCCTCTGGTAATTTAACGTAGCTATGGAAAATCACCATTTTTAATGGGAAAACTCACTATAAATGGCCATTTTCCATAGCTATGTTAAATTACCAGAGGGTATATCTAGATGTAATATAGATCTAATAAATATATGATACATATTTATAATATATGGGTTAGGGTGGGATATGGGATTCTATGGGGTTCGTGTGGAATAGTAGGCTGGAAATTGCAAATGGAGACACAACAAAAGAAATTCTGAGTATTTGCAGCTCGATATTTGGGGGTAAAAAGAAGAAAATGTGTTTTTTGCCCATGATCTACAGCGAGTAGTCCAGTGTTTTTTTAGGTGTGAGCTCCTTGGTTCAGAATCTTTGATGGGAATCTGGTGTGTCTTTTCGTTTTGCATGCCATTGGCAATATTTGGACTACTTTACTATATCTTTATATATGACAATATATAATATATGTCAATATATGTTGATCAATGTTGATATAATATTATGTTGCTATATGTTGATATATATATATGTTTATATGTTGATATGTTGATATATGTTAATATAGTATATGTTGATGTATGTTGATATATGTTTCTATGTGTCGGTATAATATATGTTTATATGTGTTGATATAATATATGTTTATATGTGTTGATACAATTTATGTTGATACATGTTGATATAATATATGTAGACATATGTTGAGATGATATATGCTTATATGTGTTGATATAATACATGTTGGTATATGTTGATTTAACATATGTTGATTTGATATATGTTAATATATGTTACAACCGTCACAAATATTCTTTGGATCGGTTTGTGCTGCAGCACCTTGAGCCTTCCAGGCGCATGCACGAGCGATGCAGCAAAGCAGGCCAGGGCGCGGAAAATATATAGGATCCCCCCCATCACTGGAGGTTTTAATGGGAGCTTCATTTGTAAATGGTGGGTTTTCATGGATTTTCCATTGCCATGTTTGATTACTCATCCAGCCTTCAAGCAACCTAGTATGTTTCCAGGATTTTATATGTGCAATTTTTACTTGGGAATGACGGACAGTAGTTTGCCCAGCTTTTATCATCAGCACAGCAGCATATCATCATAGACCTAGACACATTGCTATCACAATATGTGTTGTTTCCTTTTTAAATAATGTCATCACCATAATCATCTCTATCGTCCTCTTGATCAATCTCATTTGTCACAATCTCATCACAACAACATTAAATACAGTAATGTTTTCATTGAGTCGTCTACTAATCTACTGCAATATACAATCTTTCATCCGTTCTCATCATTTTCCAGGTTTCTTGCTGCAAAAGACACATTGTAAGAAACAAAGCACATAGGAAAACATAATGTTTATGCTTTCCAATATATTTCGCTCAGATTTCCAAGAAGTACATATTACAAGAAATAGTTCATAGGAATCTAAATATTCCCTAGTGATCCAAATACCCTCAAGATGCGACCCAAAAAACCAACCCCAAATACTGTGCTGGTTCCACCGCTGAACCTTGCTATCAGGATACCAACAGAAGAGGCGCGCTTTAGGGCGTTTCGGGGTACGCGCGTGGTTTCCACAGAGGGGATTGTAGCTGGGTAGTTGCCCCTTCTGTTTGGCTTATAGAAATATATATATATATATATATATATATATTTGGGATTTGTATAGTGGCATACTGCGGATACAAACATGTAAAGAACTACATGATATGGCGATTTTACGCGATTTTGACATATCTTAACCATCGAAAATCAGGGGTTATTGTAACCATGAAACATGGGGACCTGAAGTTATCATCCAAGTCTTTGCTCAGCTTTAAAGGGGAAAACAATGGCGGTTCACCGGGTCCTTTTCGGCATTTTTGGCCGGTGATCGTAACTTGGTAGCAACCCTGCATACTTCAGGGATCATCCCTGAACTTTCGATGATATGGATACCATGTGTATCAATTCCTATGTAAATTCCATGTTTTGATGATTATCAATGATTCATATGCTTAGGATTGATGGATATTCTGGGGACTATAAATTATTTTGTTTGATGGTTGTCATATGTCCCTCTATTTATATTATCAATGTGGTGCATGATTCACTGACATATCCATCTATTATAGATAATCATGGTTGATGCTGAAGTCTCGAATCATTGTACACATCCAACACACATGCTGGTCAAATGCTGGTCAAATGCGCACTTATTGTTGATTGATAAACAACATGTTTGGCTGGTCTCATCATTATTTATAATCTTAGCATGTTCGTTCGGTACGTTTGGGCGTTCAGAACGCGCGTTTTAAAAACTCGCGTTCCAGAACGCGCGTTCTGAGTGAATCCTTTTTTCCAATGATATAAAGTCAATTTATTTCCGGGGTTTGAACAGAGAAACCCTTTTCCCCCACTTAAAAAAAGGATGTGGAGCTCTTGTGGGCTCAAAGTGGTGTATGAAGCCACCAGAAAGTTGATCTTCCCAACTCCGGATCCTTTTTGGGTGAGGCAAAAAAGGTTCTGGCCTCACCAGGCTTTTGGGGCAAGTTAGGTTTCCTTCCCGGATCCTTTTTTTTCTCTGGAAGAAAAAGGTTCTGACCCCTCACAAATTTTATCTGGCCGTGCTAAGTTTATAATATATCATATCAAATCATATAGGCGTGGGCTTACTCGCTGTCTGCAAGCCCCGGTTTTATGAGGATATGGTCACCGACAGAATTATGGAAAAAAAAAACGTTCAACTTAGACAGGCGGCGCCTGCGTCCGATTTTTCCATAATTAGGTTTTTCCCCATAAGGGTTCAAAATATCCCGGAAGTGATCCGAACCTTTTTTTTTTCCATAATTCTTGGAGGTGGCCATTATTTCCATAATTGATTTTTCCTGTAAAATCAGGGGGCTAGGGCAGATTGACCGGTTTTTCCATAATTATTGTTTTCCATAATTATTTTTTCCATAGTTTTTTTTCCCATAATTAATGTTTGGGGCTCCACCTGTTGGACATGTCATGGATCCACAATTCAAACCCCTTTTTTTTGGGGGTTATGGAAATATGTATGCAAATGCAAGTATGTAGTATCAACCCAATTGGTGGCAGGCTTTAGGGGCATATACCAGATCTTTAGACACATATTTTCTATAATTCAATATTCCCCCTTAAAATGCATTCAAATTGCGAATATCACATGATATTATGTATATCAATGGAAGACTTAGGGGCATATACCAGATCTTTAGACACATATTTTCTATAATTCAATATTCCCCCTTAAAATGCATTCAAATTGCGAACATCACATGATATTATGTATATCAATGGAAGACTTAGGGGCATATACCAGATCTTTAGACACATATTTTCTATAATTCAATATTCCCCCTTAAAATGCATTCAAATTGCGAATCGATGGACATACAGTCACCGACAGAATTATGGAAAAAAAAATAATTATGGAAAACATAATTATGGAAAAAAAAAGGTTCGTAACTTTTCTATCATAGACAGGCGGCGCCTGTAAATTGAAACGTTTTTTTTTTCCATAATTCTGTCGGTTCCTGTACATCCATTGAGGATACATCCACTTTCTGTGCCATAGCCGCCTCGAGTACAAGTTCAACCATCATCCATCTCCTACATGAGCAATCTTTTGCGATCGCTTCGGACGCACTTTCTTGCTCCTGCGTGCAATACCAGCCGATTTCCTTTATATCGACAGCGGCTCCAACCTTTTTCCTTGATTTTGTCACATCTATCTCCAAGCTCAAAACTATGGAGGAAGTCTTGCACATTCTCTACTACATGGCGCTCTCCTTTCTTTGCTGGTAGAAGTTCAACCATCAACATCTCTTACTTGGGCACCTTTTGGCGAACGCTTCGGAATCACTTTCTTGCTCCTACTTGCATTTCCAGCGGATTTCTTTTACATCTACATCATCTCCAACTACAGCTCTTTGGCTTTGTCACATGATGTCACATGCAACTCCAATTTTTAGACTATGGAGGAAGTCTAGCACACCTTCTTCTACATGGCAGTCCACTTTTTTGCTGGAACGAACTTTCCTCGTCATTCTTCACTGAGGTTCATGTCATTGAACTCCAATTCCAGTCATTGTTGTTTTCACGGATATTCACTAAAGTTCAGTCCTCCACCCGGATGCAAACTTCCTTCTAGGCACATTTCTCAGAGGACAGAATGTCCTCGATCAAAAAGTTTTTTTTTGGAAGATACAGTACACATTCTTTGAAGATGGGCCACAGGTCCGGATTATTGAGGGGCCAAGATTGCATTGCTCTTTCTAGTCACACCGGCTCCATTCCACCAATAGCTAAAGCTAGCAGGGCCGCAGATGGCGTGCCGGGAGACCACAGTCAGGCTATTGTGTCCAGTGTCTCCTTTTTCCAATTTTTCTCCAAAGCGAGAGACGAGTGGTCACGAACCCTGCTGTGCGTCACGGGATCATCCTTCTGGTTACTTTCCCCTTTTTTGTTTTATTGCTCATGGTTGCTCCTTTGTTTCGGTGGTTTAGGGGTCCACCTACACAATTCCATCCAGTCCCATGTTATAGGTGCTGGTTAGCGGCTTATCCCGCAGCCTAGAGTTTCTCCTCTTCTTTTCATGTTCTCCTTTTCATTGTGCTTCTCCAACTGGCTGACGGGAAGCTGCTGCGGACGTGTAGTTCGTCTAGAACTGCATGTTGCTAATGAAAAGCATCAAATCATATCCATTGCATGTTCTAGCTTTGATACCCCATAGATATACCTGCTTTTGGTAGATATACATAAACAAAATTTTGATGGCTAAGTTGGTTAAGTCTCCAATCACTGTGAGTCAATTTGGCTGGTGAAATCCTTCATCATCGGCTAAAACCTATTGTTAACCTACTTTCTAAACTAGCTTATTAATTGTTTATCAATACTCTAACTCGTTTCCTGCTTGATGTCCTTTTTCTTGATGATCAAATCCCCACTCGTATCCCATCCTCGAGCATTCTTGGCTTAATATCCCACTTGTTGACGCTCAAATCCCCATTAAGAAAGACATTGTTACATCAGTTACATCACCACAAAATGGCTCAAATCCTGAGTTTTGGTGGGTTACCTTCTGGTAATTTAACGTAGCTATGGAAAATCACCACTTTTGATGGGAAAATCCACTATAAATGGCCATTTTCAATAGCTATTTTGACATAACCAGAGGGTAAATCCCAACTCACAATTTTTCTGTCATGAGCCCGAACTCAGCAACCGCCAGGCCTTCCCCCGGCGTTGGTTCGGAGATCCCGCACTGAGCCCCCTGGGTGCCAGTTACGGATACTTCCAGCTGCAGCGCGAGGATGCCACAGGTGACTCGGACAAGTAGGAGAAGGATCTAGGGGTATCCTATTTCAGAGAAACCCAATTCGGAAAAGCATGGGAAAACTTAGGAGAAAAGAGAAGCAGTTGGATATATTTCAAAAGCCATGGGAACAAATTGAGTTTTACCAGCCGAACTCAGATTGAAGTTTACGAATTAAATGATGGCAAGAATAAGGTCAGCTGGAATTGTTTTTGTGGTTAAACAACCAAAACATGTGAGTTAAGCAGAAATTGAAATATGTTGGATTTAAACATCAACAGTTTTGATTTAGGAACCAAAAAATGAGTTTTAAATAATCCTCAGCAAAAAGGGCGATATCATCAGCAAAGGCGACGTGACGAGTCAATATGATATTTGTAGTTTGTGGTTCACATCTTTGCTGTTTCCGATTTCGGAAATTGGATGAATTACCCACAATTAACAAACACATTTTTCAAAGTTCGTTTGACCACCATTCAGACAGGAATGGCGAAGTTAGCAATGAATGTGAACAGCAGCAAGTGGATTTGCCTGAAAATAAGGCACCCCTAAACTCCCATGGTCTATCATCATCTTCAGCAAGATTGCCATCTTGGGCACACCCCATTGGTGGACAGACCCACATGGTGATTGTAAGCCAGAATCATTTTGCTTTTGATTGGCTATCAGCCACCAAAACTGGGTCTACAAGCGAGAATAGGGCATCTATCATTTTAAAGTGTTACGTACATGTATATACATACACGCATGTATGCATACGTACATACATACATAAATACATACCTACATACATACATGCATGCATGCATGCATTCATACAAACAGATATGTATATATATATATACATATATATATACACACATGCGCACAATTTGAGGTACGACCATAACTCTGGTAGACCACTTATGTAGGGGCCTGTATACAGCATCAAACACCGTTTTGATGTGTCTCCTTGGCAACCGCGCAGATTTTTGCCCCATAATGCCGGCCCACTGCACGTATAACATTTTGCAAACAAAAGTATCTGTTTTTTGCAAACATACAACGTTGAATTTACCACACACAGAATACCACAAGTAACATCAACTGGCCATTAATCAGAGGATGCCGGTATGTTTCAATCGGTTCATTTCCCGAAGACGTGCCAAGGTGAACTCTTTATGGTTTTGAAACTCACCAGGCCATGTGGCAGCCAGGGTCCAAATCCTGAGACCTCTTGGTTTCAGCAGATAGGTGGTGCAAGTGTACTGGACATTCACATCATTGAGGATGGTCTGATAATTTGCCGCGTTGCCAGGGACTTTTTTGATCTGTCACGGATATGGGGAATGTGGCGGACTATTGGTTTAGTCTGTTTTTTTAGTTTTGAGTCGGCTGGGAGTCATTCATAGACAGTCAATTCCAATCATGCCGGTGGTGTTGCTACAGTTGTTGCTGTTTCTGCTGCTCACAAGAATGGCACGGTATGTTCTGGAAGTGGTATTGTTGTGGTTGTTGTTTGTTGTGGCAGTTAATTTTCAAGACAGTGGTTTGTGACTGTGGGTGTATTTTTGTTAGTATGAGGTGTTGAAAAAGTGGTATTGTAACGTGTAGCGTTGTGGTGGTGAGATTTTGAGATTGTGTTTTTTTTGTGGTATTGGTATTGTTGTGGCGGTGGTGGTACTGTTGTGGTAGTGAGAAAACATTTTGATGAACTACATCAATGGTGACCATACAAAACAGGACCAGCATTGCCTGGGAGGTTCTACCTGTCAGAAGATGAAGATGCAACCGCAACGGGACGCGTTCAGATGCAGTTCCTGAATTTTTGGAAGGCAGGGGAATGTCAATCTGGGATTGATGTTGACATATGTTGACATATGTTGACCCCTGGGGCAGAAGTAATATGGTACCTCTCCAATGGCCAAAAAAAATCACCCTGTTACGTAACCCTATGATCGTTGACCTTGGATCTGAGTGGCAATGTGTGGAACCGTCAGATACCTGCCCTACAAATATTATGGCTGGAGCTATGGTACTGATTCTCCAGGTAATCATCCGAAGTGGTAACTGACATTCCGAGCGATTTCACCACGATTTCCCCGTTTCAGGTGGCGACCTTCCAGTACACAAACCTATGGAACAGACCTCATCAGCAAAGGGCAATCCTGCTGTTTTTTTTCTTTTATATATATATATCCCCGTTGGAATTTCCCTTATAAAGTGATAGAGCTTGGGTTCCCTATACAACCTAAAAACCATATGTTTTTATTTAAAAAATAGGTCTTGCAACCTAGCATTTTACAAGGTGACAATTTTGATTACTTGTTGGAGACTTGGGTGCACGTTTTACACAACAAGTTTTTCTCTTACATGTGTCTTATAAAACTACTGCTGTAGAGACATCATGTACCTCCAGCACATTCTTTACAAAAAGCTTTCCCAACCTCCAGGCCCTTTTTCCTCATGGCGGCAGAACCCCGATGAAAGATGTGACAAAAGCACGACGCAGAGATTTTGAACTGCAATCGTCAGAGCTATAGGGGGCAACAAAAACGATCAAAGCGCACAACTTGAATTTCAATTGGTTGGTTTTATTTTTTTAAAACCAAATCTGTCCCATTTTCCGTCTTAAAGTCTCTACACAAAAAGTTGTTTTTGTTTCAAACTTTTTCGGGCTCATCTGGAGGCGGATGCAGTAGGTTCTACAAAATGCAGTGCGCATGACAAAAGTCATCCAGAAACTAGGACATCACGCATCGAATCTGTGCTTTGTGGGTGAAAGGAACTCTGAACATGGATTCTTTGAACTTGGGTGAAGCTTGATTATTGGACAAAAAGAGCAGGAACATCAGGAACCTAGTATAATGGGATACATTTAAATCATTTAGGTTAATTATAGATAGTAATCTGGGGTGAGGTTAGTGAAGGCAAAAAGTGCAACGTCATTATTTGAAAAAAATACATAGGCATGAAATCGGTAACCTTTTATCCTTATGTAATATCATCGGTACTCTTTATCATGGTGATTAATTTGGATTGAGAAAATATCTTATGTAATATCTTGGCATGAGGACATTTAGAATTCATAATAATAAGATCAGAGGTGCTAAGGGGTTTACTCAAGATGATTTTATGATTGAGAAAATAAACGGTTCATTTTCCCTTAGCATTTCCATAGGGCTATATTATAGGCTATGGTTATAACAATAACCTTTTAATATCAGGAAAATGAACCGTTCATTTTCTCTACATAGCCCATTAGGGTAAATTAATTAATTAATGCCCTGGCAAATTCATTAATAAATTAATGAACGCAACCAATTGTGGGTTCACTCCATAAATTTTAAACCTATTATAGTATAATTATAACATAAGTATGGGAACAAAAAATAGTTCCGATTTTTCAGAGCTGAGTTCAAACAGTGAACAGCCGCTACAAGAAGCAGCGCATGATCGCTGACTACAACATCCTAGGCACGACTTCATTTTTGGAAGTTAATTTGTATCGAAAATCCAAGATGGTACCAAGCACGTGTTCACCCTTTTAGTAGTGGAAATTTTACTAATAGTCGAGCGTCGGACGGGGTTGGCAAATCATGAGGACCATTCTGACCCTACAAAATGCGTGCCTGGGGTAAAATATGGGGATGTCAAAAGACACACAAGGAGTTGGTGCCATCTTTCGTATAAATCCAGTGGCTCCTAGGTTCCAGAGGCACCCTTTTTATAAGCATGTTTTTTTAAGTTTTTGGTTGGGGCCTATCTTTTTGTAAGAAGCAAAGTTGGGCACCACCAAATTATACCTATAAAACTGGGCTCCAAGACCTCCCCTGAAATTCAATCCCGGATATACATATATATATATATATATATATATATAATATATATATATAATATATATATATATATGTATATGTATATGTATATAACTTTTGTGCAGTAACTCTTTTTAAAGTTGTTTTCCCTACCACATATTTGAGTTCGTAGCGAAATGGGTCATGCCATGGATGTCCAGGGAACACAGTGCTGGATGGAGTTTTCTCCGGATTTGTGGAGAAACCCATTTTTCCACTTTCAGGTCATAGTAAACCCATAAAAACTTGGAAACATATTTTCCATTATTTTCCCTTGTTGGTATATTGTCTTTGCTTCATACCCCATGGTTAAACGATGGTTAAACATGGTTAAACCATGTTAAACCCCTTAGAATCGCAGGATGTGGTGAGCACAGCGCAGCAGCATTCGGTAACGCGGCTGCTGGTGGATCTCTCAGGGAACCCCGGCGGCTTCGTGGACCTGGCGTATCTCTTCGTGCGCGCCCTCCATCCGCTGCTGCAGCGCCGTGGCACGTGAGAGCGCAGGGACGTTGGGAAACTGCCGTTGTTTTTTTTCGGGCAAACTTTGAGGGATTCAAACAAAAAGCGATTTTTGTTGACACTCTGAGCAGCATCTTAGACAGCACCAATGCTTAAGTTCGCCTACACCCAAATTATGAGAAAGAACCCCCAGAGCTTGCCAGCTATCTGGGGAACACAGGATGAACACAGTATAATGTCATTTTATACGACATAACAAATATTGTCAGTTCATATAACAGATTTTCTGTAGTGCGATAATTCTGAAATGATATGACAAAATCTTGTTGTTTAAACTTATCTACCCTATCTACATTATCTCATTTGAAATTATGCAGTAAATCAAAACATGATATTCAATCTTGATAAGTCAATACGATTTGATTGAATGCAATATTGCGTTGGGTGAAAAAAACAATTTGTTGAAATACGATATGATATATTGTAACAAAATCCAAGTTACAGTCATACTTTTACATATATATATATATATAGTGAAAATGGTAATATCATTGAACAGTAAAATATGACTTTCTGTTTGTAATACAGGATCTATGCAATATATATATATAGTACAATCTATATGATTTTATATGATAAAATATGCTCCAGTATATCTTTGTGTAAGATTGCTTTCAGTAATATAGAAATGATTTTGCAAAACAGTGCGCGCATTTATTTAACCTTACAGGTAGTTTCTGGCATATGTATATTTTACAACTGGTACATACACATTCACGTCCATATCCCTGGAGTCCCCATTCAGGTTCTCAGAGGTGTGCAACGAGTATGACCGGCCTGCAGGATCTCTTTTCGAGGTAGGAAGTTTTTTTCGTTTTGGGGGTAGATCTGGAGCTGCTGAGTTTCAGGGTTTTTATACTTATATAAATAAATTGGGTCGAATTTCGAAACTATAGTTGTTGGTCATGGTAGAACCCATGTCTGGCTGGAGGGTTTCCAAAAACTTAGTAACAACCAGAAATGGGCTATATGAATTTTGACATATTTTGACAGAGAAAAAGTCCCTGTAAATGATTACAACCGGCTTGATTTCAGGGTACCCGACTTTTTGGATTAACACAACCCGAGGTTGCAACCCCAAAAAATGAACCGAATTCGGGGACCCCAAATCTGAAACTGTCTAGAACTGGCCATGTGTTTTGTGTAAGTTGTTTTTGCCATATTTTTTTGGGGAATTCTAGACTCCAATGATTTGACGAAGCAACTCTTTGCAATATATGATTCGACTGTGTGAATATGTATATGCATACATTGCGGTATTGCATGCATGTGCAAAAAAGTCGATGAATAAATCCTGAACAAAACACGAATCTACACACTCCAGACATGGTTTTTTGTGATCTTATGAGGTCTGGACGCAGGTGAACGTTACACCTCTGGCAATTTTTTTAAACAGCACAAAGGAGGCGGGGAAAGGGGGGACCATCCTGGTGAAAATGGGTATGGTGGGAATGGGGAGGAAATCATCCATGATTGTTCTTAGAATGCTATAGATATCTATAGATTATAGTAGTGACTGTGATTGTGATAGTCTATAGTTACTGATTGTAGAATGATTCTAGTTTACCATGGCTATAACCCTGGTGATTTTTTGGCTATTATAGAATGACTATAGCCCTAGTGATGCGCCACACCACTGGCGAATGGTGAATGGCAAGATAGTGATAGCTGATAGCATACCCTCCGGTCATCACACATTGCAATGGACAATCTCCAGTTTATGGATGACTTTCCCAGCGAAAAAAAACTCCATTTGGGGATTTCCCATGTTTGATTACCGAGGGCTGAAGTCATGACCCAGTTTCTCGGGTTACTACGAGGGCCATGACCCACATATTTGGTGATGCTCAAGCAGTGTGCCTTCAACAAAGGGTGGTTTCGCTCCAGGCCAAGAAGAGGATGGAGAGTTTGACGCCAGAGAAGCAGGAACATCTCATCAAGATCTTGCATGGAGTGGCTTGGTAGACTCAGAACTGTTGAATCTACAGATGTTGAAAATACCTTCTGAGCAATGAGGAATGCCCACCTTTCACAGGGGAAAAAACACTCTTTTCTACAGTAGATCATCTACAAATGGGGGACTGTCCATGGCCATGTCTGATCTCTTTACAAAGGTGACAAATTGGGCAATGATAACTTCATGGCGCCCCCAGCAGTTTTTGGGTGACATACTCGTGGAATTGGTCAAACTGGAAGCTCAACGCACATTGGGAACACCGGTAAGGTTGGGCCATGGATGATTTTCCTATTGGGGAATAGCCAGCATCAGCATCCTCAGCATCCCAGCAGGTCAGGCCACCAGGTTCCTCTCAGTGCAGTGCCAGGTGACCAAAGCGTGCATCTCCATGGATGTCTTGAGCTGCTGGGATCTGCAGGAGCTTATGAATAACTGGTTGGTGGTTTGGAAAATTGTTTATTTTCCCCATATATTGGGAATAATAAGCCCAACTGACTAATATTTTTCAGGGGGGTTGAAACCACCAATCAGATAAAATATGAATAAGACATGGAGATTTCATGAGATTTCATCAACGGTGGGGTGAACATCAAACCCGGGGTTTGAAACGTTTGAAACAACCAACAGACGAAGGAAGTCATGAGCAAATCCTGCGGGAACCCTCCCTGAATTTGTCGGCCATGCCACAACTTTGGGAATTCAATTCCATGCCCAAAGTGTGTTTCACGAAGCAGCTGAAGTTCGCTTCTTACTGTTTGAGAAGGTTGAGTTGCCTTCTTCATCTTGATTTTAATTTTGGACCTCCCTGGCACCTCACCAAAAGCTAGAATCATTTTGGTTATGGTTACTATGTTTGGTTCCTATGTTATCCTCCCCCGTCACCTGGTAAAATCCCAATACTATGCCAGTCATACCCCCATTGCTCAAACTCCCATGGCTAGACTGCGGCTCGTTTCACGATGTTCGCTGCTTTCACACAGCCATAGACGTCCTGAAAACTTCGGAACTACGGAAGCGAACTGAACACAGCTCCGCTGAAGCGGAGTTTCTTCCCACACAAGCAGGAGACTAAGTCTGTGTAGACATGTTGGGTTTATGATTATATATTTTAATGTATTATATACACAATTCTATATTATTGAAAAATATTTACTCACTGTAATAAGAATAAATATATTCTATAAGTTGGGACAAGTTGATTTATAAGAATATAAAGTTGGTACACTATATATATATATATACATACATATGCATACACATATAGCCCTATTGGTTGCATCCCAATCTTTCCAGCTATACCCGAGGCTATGACGACTACATGCTGATCCAGTCAGCCATCGATACCCTGGACATGGGGGAGATGGATGCCTTCACCCTGCAGGAGTGGAACATCCATCGTGGCTCCAGGGTTTTTACTGAAAGGGAATGTAGTAGATGGATGTAGATGGGTAATATCCCATACATAACCCATATATATATATATGTATATATGTATATATGTATATATATAATATATAATATATAATATATAATATATAATATTTAATATATAATATATGCGAATAGAGTGTAAGCTACGGACCAAAGTACAATATCACATAATTCATCACTCTAAGACCCACAGCCAAAGGGTATGACAATCGCCCTTTTGGCTCAAGACCCACTGCAGCAACAGAGAAAAGGAACGCCATGCGGAAGCTGTCGTCTTTGTGAAGTCATTACTGGAACAACAAACATCAACATCAATTACTGGAATATAATCGGGAAGGCAATCCCCGATTCGCAGGTTATCAGCCGTAGGACTCCTACGGAGCCTACGAGCGGGGAGCCGCGGGCCTTACAGATGACTGAACAGGATAGCAGCGATAATGCATTTTCTTTCTCTGGACATGCCGTTGCACCAGCTGCCGGCACGCAGTCAAATTCTTCACAGAGTATCGACACTGGTGGAAGCGATGCCTCAGAACTGAGAACAAGCCAACCCAGGCGACATCTGGTTGCTCCTAGAGGGAGACAAATTTCGACAATGCAAGCAATTGAAGATAGGGACAGCACACCTGGAAAGAGAAGATCATCTGCACGACAATTGTCGCCTCCGATGACTCCAAGGACTAAGGCAAAGACTACGTCTTCGAATCCGCCTTCACCGATTCAGGACGCTACTCCATCAGGGACAGGATCTTATCAGCAAGTGAATGCCCCGTCAAGTGGTAGCGACATCTTCACTGCCTATCAGAGTGAATTAGCTGAGTACAAAACATCACTGGAAAGGGCCACTGAAGAAGAATCTGTACTTCAGGCAAGATTGAGTGAGACGACAGCATATGCCTATCAACAATTTAATTTCCTAGAAAGCACCACTCATCAAGAGATGATGTCGATGACCGAACAACTCCAGATGCTGAACTTCGAGTTACAGGCTGCACAACAGGAAGATGAAGGTGCGACCTACAGGATCGAAGAGTTGGAAAGGTATCAGACTATGTCGAATGAAGCTGCATCTCATTTGGAATTCAAATATTCACGACTACGTTCGGAATTCGATGAACAAATGGGACAAGCAAACGCAATTATGGTACATGTGGGAACTGACGCGAATGCTCACATCAATCAACTCAGACTGGAACTGGAAAACGCAGAGATGAATGCCAAGCAAGAAGCTCTAGCAGTCGGCTATGCTAATGACCAAACATGTGCTTTGCAGATCGAGATGCTCGAGGTTGCCAATCAGAACCAGACGATGAAGCACACCATGGCCATGAATGTCAGGCGACTGGAAACTGAGTTAGATGCTGCTGACATGAAGAGGGACGAGATCATGAAGGAGTTCCGTAGTAACATAAGATCTGAACATGACCGTTATGCAGAATGTGAACATCACTTAGCTTTGGAAGAATCACAGCTTCGATTACAGGTGATCCACAGTGAGAACTTACAATCTCGACTAGCGATTTCTGAGAACAGGGTTTCTGAAGAATCTCTAGCTGAATCAGGTGGCATGCGGGACATGAGGATAATGGGACTACGTTCTGAACTACACATGAAACAAAGTCTTTTAGATCGAATGCAACAGCAACTGACTGAATCGAAGAATCAGTATCATGAACTTTCCTGTCAACAAGCCAGAAGATCTTCACCGAGCAGATCACCGCATGGAGGACCTCTATACGAGATGTACATGCAAGCCGTGCGTGAACGTGACAGCTTGAAAGAATCCAAGGCCGAAGTTGACAAGTTGTACTTGCAGAATAGATCTGAACTCATTGACACTGAGGACCTGCTCAAAGTCTTCCAGCGAAACTTTGATGAAACTGGTAAGAAATATCAAGATGCTCTGAACAAGATCGATCACATGAGCAACAATCCGAATGTGACGAGTACCTTGTTTGACAGTTTGCACAATGAACTCAATGACAGGGATACAGCTATTGCTCGCCTTCATACTGAACTTGAAGCCCAAAAGGACTCTCTTGAGCGTGCTCACAGGGATGCAGGTAAGTCCATCAAGATGTTGAACGACAGAAGACTCGTGATCAAAGGTGCGACTGACTATTCCATTCCTGAAAGCCATTTGACCGAGATGCATCAATTGGCCAATGAGCGTTACGCTGAGGTAGAAGAAATGTCGAGCACCATTGCTGCCCTGAAGTTGGAAAACCAAGCTCATTCTTCTTCATCAATGAATAGACCGACTACATTACATGGGTACCCCAGTAATGCCATGCCTCGGAATGAATGTGAAGAGAAGTGTGCCAAACTGAAAGCAGAGTTGGACGAGATGAAGCAAGAGAGGAACGCTGAAGTTCGAAATCTTCAAGATGAGTTGAAGAAGATGGAAGATCGTAAAGATTACTATAAGAACAATTTCTCTCAAGCTGAAGATCGTGCCAATGATGAAGAGCAGGAATACCGAGCAGAAGCTGAAGCCTTCGAGAAGCTCAGGAACGAGTACAACACAAATGTCAAGGAGTTGGAGAACCTTGAAAGGGATAGATCCAAGTCATCTGTATCTCTAAGAGAAGCCGAAAAGATCAGTCTCCAACCCTGGCCTAAGACCACTGAACTTTCATCCTGGAAGGGAAGTGTCGTTCATGAAGTTTGCGTTGCAAGTGGAGATCGAAACTATGAAGATTGGAAGGCGTGGTTAGCTCCGTGTCTTGCAGATCAACCTGACTTGGAGGCGCTGGCCAAAGCTCCTGATGTGAGATTCCAATCCATTGATGCCAAGCTCTCCAATGCCTTGAGGAAAGTCATTGACAATGCTGGGGACAAGTCCATGCAAGTGAAGTATGACATGTCCATGAAGAACCAATTGTATGGGAGAAGTGGGGACTTCATCAAGGGACGAGAACTATTTGCAATGATATTGATTAGCTTCAAGTCACCTGACCACACTGAAGTTCTCTACAATGCCCATCATTTGTATATGTTCAACTACTATGGAGATGACCAACTTGAGGCCTTCTACAACAAGTGGCTTGACATCGTATACAATATGAAACATGATGATCTGCCTTCCAACAATTCCCTGCGTGACACATTGTTCCGGAAGATTGAACATTCAAAACTTATGGCCTTCGATATCAACCGATACAAAACCTTTGATGAAGGGCATCATGAGAAGACCTATGCTTACCTAACTGGTATGATCAAGGGATACATAGCACGAGGGAAGCAAGAACGACTGTTGAAAGATAGAGAACGTGCAGTGAAACTGTCATTGTCCTCTAACAAGACGACACCTGCCTTAGAAGATGCAGACAAGCCTGCCGCTCCCGTCAAGACCAAGAAGGAGAATGAAGCGGCTGCATCGTCTACAGGTGATCCTCCCAAACGTCCTAAGGCGAAAGCGAAGAGTGAAGCTGCATCGGTACTTCCTACACCTTCTCCGAAATCCCATGCCGACAAGAACAACAAGAAAGGCAAAGGTGGGAAGGGAAGATCATCTTCACCCGTTGACAAGAAGAAGATTTTCTGTAACTACTTCTTCAATAAAGGAGGATGCAACAAAGGTGACAAATGTCTTTACAGTCATTCTCAGAAGGTCTATGATGCCAAGATGAAAGGTAAGAAAGGCAGAAGCGGAAGTCGAGATTCATCAAGAGGGAAAGGTAGAGGAAGTTCATCTTCAGCTGGACCCAAAAAGAAGGTATGTTGGAATTGGCAAGAAGGTACCTGCAAGTTCGGAAACAAATGTAAATTCCTACATGCAGATAAATCGCCCTCAGCATCCTCAGAGAGAACCAGCAAGAAGACACCAAAGAAGAAGGCGACTCCCATTACCATTGATTCCTTCTTTGATAGCGACAATGAAGATTCTATGGATTATACCTCACCGAGGATAGCCAGCGCAAAGAAGTCTTCTGATGATCGCAGGATCTCATTTGATCTGGAACCTGAGGTGCACGAGATCGCATTGAGGACTACCAGGAGGGACTACCCAAACGTATGTATCGTGACCCCAACAAGCAATATGTTTTCTGGAAAGTCGATGATTTGACCGACGATCAGTCCAAGTCCGACAACACCCTCGGTTCAGTCCGAGCACGGGCCAAGGCTATCATCATGGACAGATGTGGACTCCATCGTTTTGTTGATGAAGTTAGAATCATTATTGGCCCCAAGTTCGACATGTTGATCAAACTGGACAATGATCGTGATGACTTGACTTTTGTTGAAGAGCTTGTTGAACACGAAGTTGGAAACTCCCTCATGAAGTCCAAGAACATAATGTGCATTTCACTACCAGTGCAAGCCAAAGATCGTAGATTCATCCTGGATTCTGGCAGCGGGCATGATCTGATTTCTGCAAGGAAAGCCGAAAGGATGAACTTGAAGCAGCGAACTTGTGATCCTATCATGTTCCACACAGCCAACGGTTCAACTGCTACTCAGACAGAAGCAGAGATTGACCTGGGAACCTTTGATGTGACCTCTCATGCCTATGTACTGGACGACACTCCGTCCGTGATGTCTCTTGGGAAACGATGCATGGAAGAAGGATATTCCTTTGTATGGCCATCTGGTCAAATGCCTTTCATGATTACGAAGAATGGAGAACGCATCGATTTGACAATCCATGACAACATCCCCTACGTTGATCTTGGAACTTACGAATGCACTCCTCATGAATGTCATCATGCTTCAAAGATCCATGACCTATTGATACATCCTCAAATCGGAGTCAATGATTTCAACGACATTGATGATGTTGGTCAACCCTCACGAAGAGTACATCTCGATGGAGAAAGTGGTCTTGAGACATCAACTGAGGATCACAACTGTTCCCGATATGTCAAGAAGCTCAAGGTGAAGAAGAAGAAAAGAGCAATGAACCGGCAGAAACATTCAGCAACCCCAGGAGAAGAAGAAGAAGAACCA